TGTAAGTACTTTCCCTCCTTCCGGTAATGTAATTAGAGCTTTTAGAAAGGATGCTGGAATGTAAGAGAGCTGCTCTTTGAGAATTTCGCATTGAAGAAAGCAGTCTGAAATAAGGACTCCCCAGGCTGGTACATGTACCAGTTACTAGAATGAAATAACTTTATTGCAGAAGATTCCATTGATCACATAATAGCTAGAGTCCATCATCTCAGTGGTTAACAATTGAGAAATAAGTATTATTCTATTATGATAATAAAATGAGATGTTGAAATCTAAACACAACTCCCATTTGCTTGTGGACTGACTGCCCTGTTCACATGAGATGCCCTTGTTTCACATTCTATCTGATATTAATAAAACTTTAGTGCTTGCCATGATTTCTGGGAGTAATAAATGTAAGATCCCTAATCTGGCTGCCTCTCACAGGCAGTAATTGCTAAGGAAGAAACTGCTTTGCTGTAGCTTTCTAGTAAGATGTGAGCAGTGACTAAATATATCTTCTAAGATAGAAAAGACCTGGGAGATCATTTTGCCAAAAAAGGTAATTTTGTATTCTTTTCAACTGTACATATTTAATAGTGTTTCAGATTTCTTAAGAAACTAGTGTGCAGTTAACACTGACTACAAGGTCAGTTTCCCATCCTGGTTCTTTCTAAAATATGGTGCGACCTGAACAAATGAGTGTGTAGCTATCCCTTTGTGTTTTCGGGCAGCTGGTTCTGGGCCGCACAGAAGTCAAACTCTGTGGCTACTGAAGTTCCCTGTGTATTCATAAAACGACGGAAGTGTTTGCACAGAGCATGCGCACACCCTCCCATGTACTAAGCCATCCCCAGGTGACTTGTGACGTCCATGCAATGTAAGTGCTTTGTGAGCGGATGTGGCACTGGGCTGTCAGGGAATGAAGACAAGGGAGAGGTCTGTGCATGTTCACCACGAACTCGGTTCCTTTATTATTATTGCTAAATAAAATAATAACCGTCACTCCTCAGTTACTAAAGTACACGTGGAGAAGAGAGCAGATGCCCATCTCCCTCCACAAGGACACACTTACTTCTCAGAGTTTGCAGTATTCCTGGGAAGTCTTCCAGAAGATGGGAACTTTTGGGGAATGAAGCTGTAGCAGATACACAATCCTGGGCTGCTAAAGAAAAGAACAGAACAGAAATCTTGCAAGGGGCCAGAGCCGACAAAGCATTGCTGTCACTGTTTCCTCGTTTTGGTCCACACAAGTGCATAGAAATTTTCAAAGTTTGGCTTGGTGTAGTGGAAATTCAGTTAATTTTCAGTTCTCTGTTTACCCCCTAATCACTTCTGCAACTCTGCTTTCTCCTGAAAGTGTACTGTGAGGTGATGTAATGTTGCTTTCTGCTTTTTTGACACACGGATGTGGGCTGGAGGGGGCGGGGCTTGCTCATGCTAGGCAGCATTACACTGAGCACCACTCCCATTCCTGGCTGGGACCTCAGCTTTATTTATTCCTTCTGAACACTTCCCTGAGCTCTTCCCGATGGTTCCTGAAAGGTTCAGGCAACACTCTGGCCAGCCCAGAGTTCCGTGAGAACCATGCAGGTGCAAAGGACCCCTTTAAAGGAGTGACCCCTGCCTGTTTCCGCTCTCTTGCTCTTGCTCTTACTCTTACTCTCTTTCCCTCTTACACTCTTACTCTCATCTTACTCTGTCTCTCTCTGTCTCATATCTTATCTCTCTCTCTGCTCCACACGGGTTGGTTACCTCTCACCCCCCTTTTCCCTCCCCGTCCACCAATAAACTCCACGTGGGATCGTTGAGTCGCGGTTTGTGTCTCCTTACTGGATAAACCTAAACATTTTAACACCAGTTCCCAGAGAGAAACAGACACTCTTCTGCCTCCCTCACCAAGTTCACTGAGAAAGCTTGGCCAGCACCCCTGGGCCTTTCCATGAGAAGAAACTCTAGGGAAAATAAAATACTCTACTTAATGAGAAACTATAAATTGCTCAAGTTTGCCAACTACCCTTGTCCCCTAGCCCAGACATGGACTAGAAGATTCCAGCACAGCCCTACCAATCACCATAAGAAGACACACATTATCTTTTAAGCACCCCCTACCCAGCTGGATATACAGAAAGGAACACCTGCCAGTCTAAAACAGACCCCAAGCACCGCCACCTCCAGTGGAATGTAAAGGATGGAGAATGCTTCCAGATGTGTTGGATGCAGATGTGGATAAGAGATCCTCAGAGATAACTCCTGAGGCTCTGACTCAAACATCTAGGTGGAAAGATGTGTATGTAAATAGGGACGAGGATAGAGGTCAGTCTCTAAATGGCCTTACCTCTGTGAGCAGAATAAAAACTTGCTGTAATAATGGATGCCTAGGAGGTATGAGCTGTAGATCATGTTGGGTGTTATGGGGTAGCCATGGAAGAGAAGAAGCAAGTCATGGGGTACTAAGTTCATTACCCAGGGAGAGAAGAGCCATTTGCCAGGGACAAATTCAGCCTTCCTGTGCCAAGCTGCAGTCGATGGATATATGGCTCCTGGATTCCACCCACATTGGGAAGTGGCCCAGCTGTAGTTCACAGAGTACAGCTCCTTTAGTGCCTCTTCCACACCTTACATCAACCTTGCAATCGCTACCACTCCTCCGTCTTCTCAAGCGAACAACTGCTCAGACAACTTACTTTTGTAGGATAAGTAGCAATCACTGGTTTTCTTACTGTTGTATTTGGGTTTTTGAGAAAGATTCTCACTGAGTAGCCTAGGCTAGCTTGAAAATTTGTATCTTCCTGCCTCAGCCTTCCAGGTGCTGGCATTACAGATAGACACCACCTCACCTGGGGATCGAGCCTAGGGCCTATTGGATTGTAGGCAAGCATTGTAACAACTGTAATGTCCTCACCCCTGAGATTTCTTCATTCTTATTTTCTGTATTGGATTAACTTATTACTGCTCCTGGGGTGTCATGGAATCTGATGTTAACCTTAAACAGAGTTGTGGTCACTGCCAAGTTACTTAGCTCCCAATGCCTAGGTTTCCTTGCCTGAAAACTGGAGCTATTAATAGTGTCTACCTACTTCTATGTGACGATACAGTGAGTTTATTTATGGAAAGTGCTGAACAATGCTTAGCAGTTAAACATTCACTAAGTAGTGGTAGTCATTGGCTCCATCTGTCAGAGTTCTCATGATTGTGTTCCAAATCATCCTACCTAATTAGAATTTGTCATGAAGAAAGCTGTAGGGCTAGGATGTGGCTCCATGTAGAGCGTTTGCCTAGTATGCATGAAGCCCTAGATTCCTTCCCCCGTCCATGAAAAATCAAAGAGGAAGGGAAGAGGGAGTTAGGGGTCATTGACAAAGAACTTGTATGTAGACTTCAAGAAAGTCCAGGGGTCTACAGGGGAGGTGAGTAGGCTGAGGGTGAGCAGAGAGGCTCAAAACACCCTCTCTTCTCGATACATTCATAGATGGCATCTCTGGAAAAGCTTCCTTGGAGGAAGAACTTTGCTGAGGATCAGAGGTGGTGAGTGCAGAGCTTACTGGTTAGGATAATGCCCCAGCCCCTCAGTCACATTCCCTGTCAATAAAACTTTCTCAGACACACTGCCTGGACGGGCTGCACAGTGGGACAGTCATCGTGTTCCCTGCTATAGGGTAGCTAATGTCATAACAGATGTGGACCAGGCATATGTCCAATGCTGTGGCAACCTTCCAGAATTCAGCTACACCAGAGTAGGGGTCCTGGGAGGACTGGATGGGGAGGGGACCTCAATAGATGCAGGCACGAGGAAGGCACTTGTCCTCCATCTCCATTTGGTGGGTGACACAAATCTTGAGCAATTTCCATTCTTCAGTCTGGTTTAACAGGCATAGGAACAAAACCTGCTCTATAGAGGGGGGCATGTAGCAACCCAATTTTGGGGTGGGGGGCTTCTTCCAGTCTGTGCTTGGAAGGAGGGGTGTGAATTGAGGAAAGGAATTAGACAAAAGACAAGAGAGAGAGTCAGGAGGGCAGTGAATACTGAATCACCCATGCCTGTTTTTCAAAGTCTTTTTATACCCTCATCAAAAGAGGGGGAGAAGGCAAAAGACTTCTTTACCAAAAAAAAAAAAAAAAAAAAAGAAAGAAAGAAAGAAAAAGAAAAACAAAGAACAAACAAGCGTAATTACCTTCTCAATACCCAAAACACCAAGTAACTATGTCCTGAGTTACGTATTCTATTTTCAGGCAGGACATGTAGCAACCACACTTTAGGCAAAGTATCCTGTTGCATTTATCTTAGGCCAGACATCCTTGGAAGAGCAAGGGCAGGCAAAAACTCTCTGACCTTAAGTCAGAATGAAATGGAGTCAATTCTGTGGGTTCCCAGAGGGTACTCTGTGAGTCCTGTCACAAAGAACAGTAATGTAAATAAGAGCTGTGTTCTGGCTGAGCAATGGTGGCACACGCCTTTAATGCCTTTAATCTGAGCACTCCCAGAGGCAGAGGCCAGAGGTGGGCAGATCTCTGTGAGTTTGAGGCCAGCCTGGAACTACAGAGAGAGTTCTTGGATAGGATCCAAAGCTACACAGAGAAACTCTGTCTGGAAACCCCACCCCCACCCCCCCGAAAAAAGAGCTGTGTTCTGGGGAAGCGCCCTTAGCACAGGCACACTTTAACTGATTGACAAGCTATCACCTGAGTGATGTAGGACTCTGGATTAAAATAATCTCTAAACAGAATTTGTTCACATATTCAAAATCGTCTGCTATTTCATCACGGCAGTGGGCCTTCTGCCGTCTTGTTGCTGCTGCGTGAGTAAAGTTACAGCACACGTTGCTGCCATGGAAAGCATACATTTATTAAAAAAAAAAAAAAAAACCTAATAGTCGGTGGCAGGCTTGATGTATGCCAGTGTGTGGGTCTCCGCACCTCACCATTTGCTCCTGCGTAATCTAAAATGGCAGCTCACCTGTCAGAATTCAGGGTGAGCGAAGCTCCTGGGATATTTATAAAACACTAGAAAGACAAAACCGTACCAGCAAAAGATGGCTCTTTTTATTGCTCAGAAACAGGAGGTTTTGGGGTGACAACTGCCCGCAGCTTCCCTGTAAACTGAGTTACCAGCCAGGGAGTGGAGTTTGGTCAGGAGAGGCATCTGCACCCCTGCAGAGATCGCTGGCAAACGCCTAGTCAAGTCGCAGCCCCTGTAACGGATTCAGGTTCCTTGAGAAAGCATAAAGAGAGCTGAGGGGGGGTGGGGGGAGGGGATATGTCTTACTTTTCAGCTTTTCAGCGCTGCACCCAAACACTCACTCCTTCCTAGATGGAGCCCGGATAATTTTTTAGATGCAGGTCTGGACACATCCCGTCTTCTTCGGTAGCTATACTCCTAAAAAACTAAAGCATAGGCGCTGGTTTTATGAATTTGTTCCTTTAGTTTTGCTGCTTTAGAAACTAAACGAACTGGCGCGAAAGACGCTGCCAGGTAAATTCCAGCACAGTACCCTAGATGGGCGTGGCCTGGCGCTGTCCGTCATTCGGGCACCGCCCTCAGGCTCCGCCCTCCTTTAGGCCCGGTCCTTCTCCTGAGGGCCCCACCCGGCGCCGAGTTTGACGTCACTGTCTGCGCCGCTCGCCGTAGATACAGGAAGTGGGACCAAAACAAAGGAGCGCCGGCTGGGAGCGGACCTACCTGCGCTGGTGTCCCTGCAGCTTTGCCCGGGCCCACTCCACGGAAGCCGCACGACCATGTCCAACATGGAGAAACACCTATTCAGCCTGAAGTTCGCGGCCAAGGAACTGAACAGGAGCGCCAAAAAATGCGACAAGGAGGAAAAGGCCGAAAAGGCCAAAATTAAAAAGGCCATTCAGAAGGGCAACATGGAAGTTGCAAGGATACACGCCGAAAATGCCATCCGCCAGAAGAACCAAGCAGTGAATTTCTTGAGAATGAGTGCGCGGGTGGATGCGGTGGCTGCCAGAGTCCAGACTGCGGTGACGATGGGCAAAGTGACCAAGTCCATGGCGGGTGTGGTTAAGTCGATGGATGCGACGTTGAAGACCATGAATCTGGAGAAGATCTCCGCTTTGATGGACAAGTTCGAGCACCAGTTTGAGACCCTGGACGTCCAGACGCAGCAGATGGAAGACACGATGAGCAGCACGACGACCCTGACCACTCCCCAGAGCCAAGTGGATATGCTACTCCAGGAAATGGCAGACGAGGCGGGCCTCGACCTCAACATGGAGCTGCCACAGGGCCAGACCGGTTCAGTAGGAACGAGCGTGGCTTCGGCTGAGCAGGATGAACTGTCCCAGAGACTGGCCCGCCTTCGGGATCAAGTCTGACTGCAGAACCAGCCCGCCCAAGGTTTCCTTTCGACGCGCTCTCTGTTTTTGAGAGATGCCCTAGAATTGTGCCAGAATACCGAACAGTCTTCTTTCTAAAAACCTTTGGGTTTACAGCCTTCTCCAGATAGTATATGAAATTCCAGTTTTCCTCCACTTCTAACTGGATTTTAAAGTTCTTTTTAGCTTATGATGATGTGTATTTTTTATAGCTGCCTTTTAACAGAACAGGTTGATTTGTTCTCTATGAATCTAGAAAAATCGGCAGAACTCTAGCCCTCATGTATTCCGTTTTCACTTAGAATTATCAGATTGAAGTTTATTTTTAGTGTGGTTAATGATACATAGTGACAAGTGGTGCAAAAAATTAAATGAGGAGGAATGGGTACTTAGTTTATTTACAAATCTGTAAACACTTTGTTCGATTTATTTGGTGGAAAATACTCTTTCTGTATATCATTTGGTTTTCTTTGCTTTTGCTATCAAAGAAAGACTAACTGATGATTAATTTATTCTCATAACTTATACTAGAACCTTAGAAGATTTTTGCAAAATATGCATTTTACATTCTGTTCATGGAATAATGTGGTTTGTATAACTGGGGGAAAATGCCACATACTTTATTATCAAGAAAAATTAAATTTGTTCATTTATATTCTATCGAGATTTCTTAAGACTTAACATTTAATAATTTCTAATTGTGTTTTTTTGTTGTTGTTGGTTTGGTTTGGTTTGGTTTTACGAGACAGGGTTTCTCTGTATTGTTTTGGAGGCTGTCGGTCCAGCCCGGCCTCGAACTCACAGAGATCTGCCTGCCTCTGCTTCCTGAGTGCTGGGATTAAAGGCATGTGCCACCACCACCCGGCTCTTAGTTGTTTCCTAATGAAAGTCAACCCTCTATTGACTGCTGATCAAAATAATGTTCATCAACATGGCAGTCCTATTACATGCCTAACATTGCCAATGAACTGCTGATTTGGTCCTGATAAATCCTGGGACTGTTGTTATAGGTTTTGTTTTTATTTGATAACCAAAAATATAAATAAAATTAGAACAGTATTTTTAAGTTATAATTATTTGCATGTATGTTGTCTTAAAGCAACAACTCTTTTAAAGTCTCAAAAAGCATAAATTAGTGCTATAGATCTGCCAAAAGTTTAAATATACAATTTAGCTAGAAGTCTAGGACAAGGGAATGAGTTGGGGTTAGAAGGAAAGAGACAGAGGCCGGAAGCCTCCACCACCAGCCACCTTCCTTTTATCCTCTGGTGTAAAGCAAAGCAATTCCCTGGCCTCTAAACACAGAGAATAACTTGTGTTTGTTTGGCATATATATTAACCTAAGTTAAATATTTATGAAGTTTGTTTTATTTAATTCCCCTTTTCCTGTTTTTTTTTTCATCTAGAGAATTCCAGTGTTTCAGACAAAATAGAGATTCTGCAAAACTCTTTGGAAAATCCATTATTATAGTGTGATTTCCATGTAAATGAGTGTTTAATGAAAAAAAGTGCAAGCGTACACAGATGAGTACTGACACTCAGTTATTGAGAGTGTGTGTATATATGTATGTACACGTTTTCGAGACAGGGTTTCTCTGTATTGTTTTGGAGGCTGTCCTGGAATTCGCTCTGTAGACCAAGCTGACCTTGAACTCAGAGATCCTCCTGCCTCTGCCTCCCAAGTGCTGGGATTAAAGGCGTGGGCCACCTACACCCGGCCACACCTTTTTTTTTTTTTTAAAGTCTGCTCGAAGGGACTGGTTACTTGCCCAGTATCCTCTCTCAAAGGACCCTTAGCAGATGACATGTCTTCTCATATACACAGTTGTGCTGAGTCAGTCATGTATGAATACAACCTGTGTCTTAATCCACTTGACTGGAAAACCTTGATTAATTACAACTTAAAAAAATAGCATAGCCAGGCATTGGTGGCCCACACCTTTAACCCCAGCACTTGGGAGGCAGGAGTGGGTGGATCTCTGTGAGTTTGAAACCAGCCTGGTCTACAGAGCAAGTTCCAGGACAGGCTCCAGAGCAATACACAGAAACCCTGTTTAAAAAAATATATTAACTCCTTGGTAAATCGAGACCATGCTTTTTCCAAAGTTGACCTCAATCCTGAATTCTTATAGTAATTTGGCATTTTCTTGAATATTTCTGGGAACCTTGATATTCTTTGAATGTTTTTTTATGGATACATTTTTTTCTGAGCTGGATTTTAGAATTAATGGGGGAAAAAACAGACGGATGTGCAAACTTCTCTAGTAGTTTATTTTAGTGCAGGACCCCAGATGTGTGTAATCAGAGAACATTCTAACCAGAACTGTTCTTCCTACTGCCTTTGATTTGGGGGTGGGGAGAGGAACATGTGTAAGTACCAGTCTGGTCTGGTGACCTTAGGAACCTTAATAGTCTGTGTGTAATCACTATGAAGGATTTCTCTGCAATACATGCAACATCCTCCAGGGGGCATTTGCTGTCGAAACAACTCAAAGCTACCAGCAAAACCTTCAAAGCAGGGGACATTAAGCAAACTGGTGATGAGCCTATTCCTTTCTTTTCTTCCACTACCTGGTCTAGTAACCTGCTCAGTTTCTCCAAGTTCTACAGTTACATTGTCAGGCCATTAGGGAGCAGAATCAGACAGGATCTGCTCATACAATAGGCTCCTGGTGGTGTCTCAGAGATCCATGCAGTGACTACAGGCAGACTGTTTACACCAGTACAGTGAGCACAAGCCAGAACCCTGGTACTCCCCTACCACGTGGACGTTTTCATTCATCAGTACCTTTATCTTGTAGGTAAGTATGACTCACTTCCCTCGACAGTTATAGTGTGCTTTTTCCTTAACACAAAGAAGTTATTTAAAATGCGGATTGATGGCAGGTTCAGCAGTCTAATTACAAAGGACACCCAACAACCTGTCCATGGCTATCCTTGTCCCAGCTTGTCCCCACTTATTGATCATCTTCATGGCCATCAATCAACTTTTGAATTATTATATTAAAACACTCCTGCCGGCACTCATGCCTTTAGCTGTAGCAGGAAAATCTGGGAAATAGCAAATCCAGTTGGTAGGGCAGAGAGGCATTGTCTGTTTAATGTGCTGGGGTTTAAACCCAGAACCTCAAACATACTACATGAGCATCTACCAGTGAGCATATCCCCAGTCACACACACACACACACACACACACACACTTCTTTTTTTGTTGTTGTTTTGTTTTGTTTTAAAAGACAGGGTTTCTCTGTATTGTTTTGGAGGCTGTCGGTCCAGCCCGGCCTCAACTCACAGAGATCTGCCTGCCTCTGCCTCCCAAGTGCTGGGATTAAAGGTGTGTGCCACCACTGTCCGGCCACACTTCTTATTTTGAGACATAATCTCACTAAGTTTCCAAGCTGGCCTTGAACCCACTTGGTAGCTCAGGCAAGCCTTGAACCTAGAATTCCTCTGACACAGCCTCCCTAGTAACAGATTACAAACATACTGCACCAGGCCCGTTCCTCCTTAGTATCCACAACACAAGTGCTTTTTTTACTGTTGGAATTTGCTGTGGTTTAACAGCTTTGTGTGGTGTTCTGAACTACAAAGGGACATCTGCGGGGGACATTCTTAGATGGCCCAGTGTTTTCTCCTTCACATGAAACATCCCACTTAGAGACAACTCTGAGAAAGTTTTCTTAACATCTGTCTGTAGGTACAAACCCCAGCTTGAAAGGGTACTTCTGCAGGTTGCTCGGAACTGGGTCAGGGGTCAGACAGAGCCGGACAGTATTGGAAACCGCCTTGGAGAGGAGAGTGGGGAAGACTGAGGCACCTTTGTCTCTTTCGTTGACATCTCAGTCTCACAACTTAACTATGCTTCAGGAAGTTTCCCCCCACCTCCCTCCCACCGCTCCTCTGGAAGGCAGTGTTTAATTACATCCCCTAAGAACACCATAGGTACTTTTTGTCAACCACAGTTCACTCTTTCTACTTGTAATAATTATCATCCGAGTATATTCACCTACCTGCTCCACCCTGTGTGCACTGTTTTAAATTGGTCGCTTCCTAAGCTAACTGACTCTAGCCATCAGCTTCATGCCTAATTTTTAGCTCCTTGCAGCCCTTCCCATCAGGGATGTCTCTTGTTGCGTGTCGCGGTTGAAGGAGGAGGGCCCGTGTGTTCCTTCTGTGGATGTTCCCTAAGGACCGGGCAGCCACTTCTTCAGGTCTTCCCGGAACTGGGGAAGAGGGTAGGAGGAAGGAAAGCAGAGGCAAAAGAACAGAATACCAAAGTCAAACAGAATGCAGGCCTTGGCCTCCCACTGAGACAGATACATAGCAGCACCCAGACCCGTCCTCCCTGTCCCTCTGTGAATGCCCTACTGATGTAGCCAGGGTCCTGGGATGAAGTCCTAGAGAACCAGTCTGACCTTGTACTGATGTAGCCAGGGTCCTGGGATGAAGTCCTAGAGAACCAGTCTGACCTTGTTTGTACTGGCTTTCCTTGCAGTTTCCTGGAGAGGATTGACAGCGTCAGTCTGGTTGACTACACACCCACAGACCAGGTATGTGAAAGGAAAGTCATTAGAAGCTTCTGAGATAGTCTGCCAAGAGTGTTCCGTGATCATTTAGAAGATTCAGGGAAAACATGCTCACAATCACTGTTTCTTGCACCTTGTCATGCTGCCCCTCGTGTTAGTCCTGCCACCAAGTTCCGAGTCTTTGCCCCCCAATCTTGTGCTGTGACACCTAGTCAAGTCCTTCTCAGTAGGGAAGGAGACCCCATGCAGTAGGAGTACACGATTCCCAGGCTTCTTAGGACCATCAGTGAGAAAGCCAAGCCTTCACTTCCCTGTTGAGCATACTGGGGCCCTTCTGCTTTGGACTCCATGCTTGAACCCCAGGTACCATAGCGCACCTCCAGGTGTGTCCCAGGTACATCCCTTGGATTGAGCCAGACAGAAGAAATGAATGGAAAGGAAGTAAGGGGGGGAGGAAGTGAGCTAGTGAATTCCAACCAATAGAGGAAGGTATTCACACAAACTAGCCATCCTTATTTACCCCCAGCATTCACAACCCCTGGAGGCCTGGGACTTGAACCACATGGAGGCCCTCTCCTCTGTGTCCCCTGGAGATCAAAGCTTCTCTTTCTTTTCTGGGGTCTCTGTCTCTACAGCCGACTCAAAGAACTTAAGGTGATCCTAAAGTATGAGGCTCATGGAGTTTCTGGGGAAATTCAATGGTTTCTAGGGAAGGTAGAAACATTTTCTATACTCCAGTAAATAAGCCTTCACCCATGTTCCTGTAAGCAACCCTGATTAAACTCATTAAATCACCAAAACAAAAAGGAAAAAAAAAGAAATCAGAAGGGACTAGTTGGAAGGAGGAGTGGCATCAGAAGAAGAGAAAGAAATAGGAGGAAAAGGAACACGCTCAAAATAAATTCTATACATGTACAAAAACATACTAAATAATTAACGTGCTAATAAAAAATATATCTTACAGTGTAACCTGGGCTCTCTAGCACTAAACAGTGCAAAGGTGACCTACAGACATGGCTCAGCAGTTAAGAGCACTGGGAGCTCTTCTAGAGGACCCTGGTTTAAATCCCAGCACCCACATGGCCGCTCATAACTGCCTGTAACTCCAGTTCGGGGAATCTGACACCTCACAGACATACATGCAGGCAAAACACAAATACATATGAAATAAAAATAAATAATCTTAAATAAATAAACAATAAAACAGCAGAAACATCTCCCAGAGTGGCTGATTCATAAATAGCACAATGACACATGCCCACTCCAGGGAGACGCCTCCTGTCGATGCCCTTATCTTTGATCCTGGAGAGAGCAGAACTATGCAAGGAAGTGACAACAAACCTGCTAAAGTGAAGTAGCTTCCAGCCCTGAGATCCCTGACTTAAAATGAGACTTAAGCTTCCTACTGACCCTTCCCCGCAGAGACTTCCAGGTGTAGCCACAGAGCACAGGCCAAGACTTAGTCCCTGAATACTGTGCACTGATTTTTGACTGTCATATAACAGCAAGATGCTGGCTGAATCACTTCTTAAAAGTCTTGAGAGGGGCCAGACCTTGGTGGTGCACGCCTTTAATCCCAGCACTCCGGAGGCGAGGCAGGCAGATCTCTGTGAGTTTGAAGCCAGCCTGGTCTACAGAGTGAATTCCAGGACAGCCTCCAAAGCTACAGAGAAACCCTGTCTCAGGAAAAAACAGGGAAAAGTCTTGAGAGGCATGCAAACACAGTCACTGTGTAAAGGGCCAAACTGGCTTAGCTGTGGGGGGTTCTGCATCTGCATTTTAATTACCCCTTTTACGATAGACCTGTCATTTGTCAGTCGCCACACTTATCTCAGGGCACCTCACTTCTCTCTTCTTGCCTCAGGATCTCCTCAGATGCAGAGTGCTGACCTCCGGGATTTTTGAGACACGATTCCAAGTGGACAAAGTGAACTTCCAGTGAGTCCATCGCTAAGAGTATGCCCTGTGCAGAGCTGGGAAGCCCAGACTGGTGCCAGCCGCTGGCCAGAATGGGAGCCCCGAGGTTGTGAGGCTAAAGGGATTGGAACTGGGACTCAGGGCAGGCTGTGTGTGGCTGGACTCCAGTGGGGGTACTGAGAAGCTCACCCACAGGGAGACACAGCTCCAGGAAAGGGGAGCACTGAGCAGGAGGGGAGGGGGCAGTGAGAAGAGAGGCCGGGGTCCACCTGAGGAGCTTCAGAGAAACTCAGACAGAAGACTGTGTATGGGCACTTAACCCACCAGGTGGAGAGCCTCAGAGAGGGCTGTGTCATCTGCCTGGATGCAGGTGACAGAGTCCTCCTGACAGGCACTGAACATGTGCACATGGTGACCAGAGGGCCGTGGATGTAGCTGGATCAGAAGGAAACCCTACACTTCCCTGGGGGAGACAGTCTTTTGAAGCTGGGACATGTTATTATAAGGATCCGCTCCAGCACAGACTAAGCATGCACTTGGTACAAGATGTGGTATGAGCCAGAAACCGTTGCATCTATTAGGCACCTACTGTATGTCCCTAGGCGCCATGCCAGCCTTACTCTTGACTCCCGAAACTACAGTGTAGAATAAAGAGGAAGGGCTGGTGCTGCGAGAGACTTGTAGTTCAAGGTCAAGGGCTGAGACACATGAGCGGCAGCTGACCATTCTGACAACACAGGAGAAGGGTAAAAACATGTGCCCTTTACCCCAGTTTCCCTGAATAACCAGGGTGCCTGTTTCTCTTCCATAGCATGTTTGATGTTGGTGGCCAGAGGGACGAGAGAAGAAAATGGATCCAGTGCTTTAACGGTGATTTGCATGCTCTGTAGAGGGCTGGATGCTGGCTCCCACCACGGCATCCAGCTGTGTTTTAATCAAACTCCATATGTAAAGTATAACATAGCAAACGTCACATGTAAAGTAAATAACCATGTTCCTCCCTTAAACAAAAATCTCACAGAGTGTAAGCATCCCGCATCTCCAGTTACCTTTTGGTGAGACCCCAGGTTAAGTGCAGCAATGCCCAGCTGTGCATATAGCCCATGTTCTAGTCATTCTAGATACAACCCCCAAATGACAGTGCCCGGGACCTTAGCCGTCATAATCCCAGAAAAACTGGCATTGCCTGTCTAAAGTGCTTCCCTTTCCCTCTTTGCCCAACATAGATGTCACTGCCATCATTTATGTGGCAGCCTGCAGCAGCTACAACATGGTGATCCGGGAGGACAACAACACCAACAGACTGAGGGAGTCCCTGGACCTGTTTGAGAGCATCTGGAATAACAGGTGATAAGTAAATCCAGACTCACCCCTGGATCCCAGAGCCTTTATTAAGAATATATCCAGAAGACTTCACATGCTTTTGTTGTTGCTGTTGCTGTTGTTAAAAGTGCCCACATCAGCCAAGCGTGTCAGCACACACCTGTACTCCTAACATTAGGAAGGCTGAATCAAGAGGATCAGAGTTCAAGGCCAGCCTGGGCTACATAGATAGACCTCATAAGCAAAAAACGTGAGGGTGAGGAAATGGTTCACTGGGTGAAGTGCATGTCATGCAAGCATGAGGACTTGAGTATGGATCTCAGCACCCACAAAAAAGTTACTTAATTAATTAGCTAGTTAAAAATTTAAAAACTGACCATCTCTGTGAGCACCTGTAACCTAAAAACAGGGAGGTGAAAACAAGCAGATCCCTGGGGCTCGCTGGCCAACCAGCCTAGCCAAAATGGCAAACTCCAGTTTCACATACTTGGACACATACACACATACACACACACATAAATCTTCAACTTTAATAAGACGTTCATCCTTCCGGTAGACATTCTTAACATGGAGACTATTCTTTGATGGAGCTCCTATAGGTGTTTGGTTAGGACTGTTTAAATCTGTTATAAAATTAGAATTCAAAATTAGTTTTATTTGTTTATTTTGACCTGGCGTCTCCCTACATTACCCAGGCTGGCCTGAAACTGTCAACCCTCTAGTCCCTGCCTCCTGAGTTACTGGGATTACAGGCATATGCCACTGTACCTGGCTGGTTTGTTTGTTTTAGAATGTTCACTGATAACTAGATGGTCTCTGTGATCCCTACAGCTCAAAGTCATACATAGCACAGCCATATGATACTCCCAGAATCCCAAGGGGGCACGAGTGATTCCACCAGAAAGGAATGTTCAACATACACTCCACTGCAGACTCACACAGTTCAGAACCAGTTCTCATCCATTATTAAGGAAAAAACATCACTAAGGAATATGGAAAATAAAAGTTTATCTTGAAAGTTATTCGTCTGAGTCTGGAGAGATGACTATGTGGTTAAGAGTACTAGATGCTCTTCACAGGACCCTGGAAGATTCCTAGCACTCACATGGCTACCAGCAACTGTAATGCTGGTTGTTGTAACTCCAGTCCCAGGGGATCTGACATCATTCTCTGGCCTCAGCCTGTACCAGGCATGCACAATGCACCAATAATACATGCAGACAAAACATTGATTCACATTAAATATTATTTTAAAATTTAAGGTTTGTATTGTTAAGTATCTTTCTGTCAAGTGTTCAACTACTGTCCTCCTTTATGGTTCCACTGTTAATGGGAAAGAAATAGGACCAGGAAACACCAGGTATGCAGAAGCCTACTTCAGAGTGGTTCTCAGTGAACACACACACACACACACACACACACGCACGCACGCACGCACGCACCCACGCACGCACGCACGCATGCAGGAATGCACCAAAACATCTACATTGTTGCAATATGGGCAGAAGACTTTTGAAACTGAGACACACATGCAAGGCTAGAAGACCCTCTCAAAGAAACCAGGGTGGATCAGGCACAAGGTATATAGCTCGGCGTGGAACAGCATTTGTTGTTTATTTGGCAGCTAAGTTCCTTTTTCTAGACTTCAGCTTTCCTTACCTCTGTTCCTGGGCCTCAGCCCTTGGCTTCTCATATAGCATGTGGGGAGTTTGGTTCTGCACCCCAACCCCCACCCTTGTGCTCAGAGGAGGTGAGACAAAGGAAAACTGGCTGCTAATTATGCTCCTTGTGATTGACTAAGGAGCATTTTAACTTCTCCCGTTGGACCCCAAAATTACATCACAGAAGTCCAAGTGTATTCATTACATGCCTAGAAGTCTGCTTTATTACTGATAAGTGTGTGTCCCCACAGAGGTTCATCAAGAAAAGAGTGAACTGCTACACTGGGGGGGGGGGGGCCTTGTCATTGCTGGTACGGAGAGTACGAATAATGGTTTACCAAATGATAGTGAGTCGGCTTCCAGAAGATGCCACTGTTGGCCCACTCCCCCCTCCACCTCTTTGTCTGTCTTGAGAGCTGAGGGTGGGGCTGAAATCGGCCTCAGAGTGGGCAAGCACCTGCCACCAAGCTACACCGTTTGAGCTTCCCTTTTAGTCTGGCAGTGTCGTCGACTGGTACTTTCACATGCTAGTGTTGTGACGCTGGTGTGGATCTTTTGGCCTTTCTAGGTGGTTACGGACCATTTCTATCATCTTGTTCTTGAACAAACAAGATATGCTGGCAGAGAAGGTTTTGGCAGGGAAATCAAAAATTGAAGACTACTTCCCAGAGTATGCCAATTACACTGTCCCCGAAGACGGTAAGATTTCAAAACTGTCTCGCTTACAGTTGAAGGATCCAACTGTCCTTTTCTCATAGTCCTGAATGGTAAATCAGAGATGTCTGGGGAATCTAAGAAATTGTCTCTGATTATACCATCCTCTCTATGCTCCCCCTCCAAAGTACTAGGGTACCAGGTGAGTAACCCTATGCAAAATGCTTAGGACCAGACGTATCAGGGAGCTTAGAATTTTTTGAATTTTGTAATGTTTGCTTATCTGAGAGACGTGACCCATATTTCTTTAAAAGCAAAACTCACTGAATGTTGGAATGTTAGAATGTGTTTGTATGCACCTCAAATACATAGCCTGAGGGTTTTGACTGACCCGTGACATGAAGCCAGCTGTAGAAGTTTCTATCTGTGGTCTATATGACGTCAGTATATGAAGGCTAGCAGATGTGGGATATTTGAGATTTTATGTGTTCAGAATAGGGGTGTTTAGTCAGTATTCAAATGTCCTATTTGGGATTTTACTTGTAATTGGTCCAGAGTTTGATTTTCTACTAACGATAGGTCACATAAGGGCTATGTGTGACTATGTCATACTAGGTAAGTTCACTCATACCACCAGCTGGGTCTTCTGTGACCCACGCACATCATTCAAACCCCATACAGTAACCATAGGTGGTGGCTTCTGTTATTTTTTCCATAGGATACTGGTTCTCAATCTATGGGTCATGACCCCTTTGGGTTGCATATCAGATATTTACATCATGATTCATAGCAGTCAAAATTGCAGTTATGGCCGGGCGTTGGTGGCACACGCCTTTAATCCCAGCCCTCGGGAGGCAGAGGCAGGCGGATCTCTGCATTCCAGACCAGCCTGGTCTACAGGGTGAGTTCCAGGACAGCCTCCAGGGATGCAGAGAGAGAAACCTTGTCTCAAAGAGGAAAAAAAAAAAAAAAGGAAGCCCACCAGCCAGATAAAGCCAAACAAAAGCGGTGTTTCTAGAATCTAGAGTTGGAGTTGGGACTGGGTTTCTTACCACTGTCGAGGACAGAGAAACCTCAAACTTCCTTGTGTCCCCTTTGTCTCCTCCACCTGACATCCCAAACCCCTGGCTTTAGTGCAGTCCTAGGGAAATCCTGAGCACCATGGGACCAATCCTTGTGAGAATCAGCAGATGCTGGGAATGAGGGGGGTTGTCTGACAAAACAGCCCATTTTGTGGGACAGCCTCTCCTTTGTTGTAACCTCAAGCAGCCTGTACAGCCAGAGCGTGTAGTGTTAAATTAGGAACCAGCCATGGCTGCTGCCACTTTGTTTTGTTTGGCTGGTTGGTTAGTTGTGAGGTTTGTTCTTGTTTTTTTGTTGTTGTTGATGATGTTGTTTTGTTTGTTTGTTTGTTTTTTGTTTTGTTTTGTTTTTTTGAGACAGTGCCTTACCATGTAACTCTGGCTGTCCTGGAATTCACTACGTAGACCAGTCAGTCTGTCCTTGAACTCAGACACAAGCGTGTGCACGTACACACGCGTCTATGCCCACACACACCCCTGCTTGCATGCCCCTGCCTCCCCATTGCTGGGATTAAAGAAGTGCACCAGCACAATCAGCTACTTTTGCAGTCAGGGCATACTCAGGTCTTACCTCACGTCTGGCTAGTTGCTGTCCCCGGCTGAGCCAGGGCTCTTGGAAAAGCTGTCCAGGCATGGTTTCAGTTGCTGTGGCTGCCTTCTCCACCTTCCCAGATTGTCTTGTCCCTCTCCTCAGATGCCACCTGTCTCTCACTGCCCCCGAGTCCATCCAACAGCTGAGTTCTCTCTGTGGAGCCTTCTCCAAACATCGCCTCTCCAGGTGTGGTCCTCACCTCACTCCCCTCCCTTCAGTGACTCACAGTTTCCAGCTTAGCCTTCGTGGCGATGCATGCATGTGTGCGTGCATTCATTCGTGAATGCATGCATGCATGCGTGTTAACTTGCCTTCCCTGAGCACTTGAGATTTAGGCATAGCCATCTTTCTAAAGCACAGACACACCCTTCTGCCACGTCAAAGAGTACCAGCCCCAGTGGCACCTACTCTGCACAAGGAGGTGGAGCTTCCCAGCAAAGAACACCAAAGGGATTCATTGTGACAGCTGAAGGGACCTTGGTTCCAGCCACAGTGCCGGGCCCAATGACTGGTACTCACCTGGTAACATGTGTCCAGTCTGCCGGTGAGTCCCAGGGCACCCATCCCTCCCTGGCATGGGTAGTGACTGCTGGTAGCCTGGACTCACCATCTAGCTTGTGCGCCTCAACTCTTGAGTTAGCCAACAAGAAAAGCAAGAAAGTGTTCATCTGTGCAGCATGAGTGAAAGACACGGTAATTACACAGAATGAAAGAATTTCGGGCTGTATAACGTATAGAAAATGCAGAGGCCATAGTGCCAGAATTCTACCTGCTTGGTTGGGAATGGGGAGAAAGGGCTGCAGCGGAAGTGAGGACAGTCCAGAAGGTGTTGAATACATGGTTGTTTTGATCACTCATTATTTTGTATGTAGTGATAATTTGATAAGCCAATACATGTTGAACTGTATCAAAGTGTACATTTGAAATATGTACAGTTTAGGATCTATAAGTTATTCCTCCTTAAAACCAATGCCCAGTTCCCAGCAGTTGAATGTCCAGAGCATCTCTAGAGGTGGAGATGTCACTAGACCCTGAGATTTCAGGATATACTTGGATTGATAGTCAGAGGGTCTGCTGCAGTAGACTTCCCAGGGCCCCCAACCTGAGTCTGTGGAGTAGCTAGAAGAGAGTCCTCTTCCAAGACTGACCTTACAAGGCAGAGTATGTCCCAGACAGCACAGCCTTCCTCTACCATATCTTAGAAGAGGAAGTGGAAGACAGAAGGGGCTCAGCTTGTCAGCTTGTCTCAATTCAGTTAGAAGCCTTCCTGAGCAGGTATCACTTGTCCTAACATGTCTGTTTGAGTTGCTATAAACAAAATCCCTTAGGCAGGGTGAGTTATCAACAAAAAAGTGTTCTGGAGGCTGAGACATCCAGAAGCAAGGCACAGGAGATTTGGAGTCTCATGAGGCCGACTCTCCCTTCATTGAGTTCTCTGGGGTCTCTTGCATATGAGTGCTGTACCCCACTCATCATGGAGGAGCCCCTTGTAATGGAGCCATCCCACTTGCTGACACTTCGATGAGGAAGACTAGATGAGCACATACATGGCATGCAGACCAGAGGGTTATGGCATGCAGACCAGAGGGTTACGGGCATTTTCTCAGAGCTCTATCAGAATTACAGTGCTTCGGGAGAAGGAAAGGAACATTACCTTTAATTTTTGCCCTGTCAGACATGTATGTTAATGCTACGAACATACACAGCCCTGTGCGGTTGGTTCCTTCTGTGTTGCCATACTTCTGTAACTTTGCTTCCTGCCGGTTAAGTGAAATTTCATTTTTAATTTTGACAGCAACACCAGATGCAGGAGAGGATCCCAAAGTTACGAGAGCCAAGTTCTTTATCCGAGATCTGTTTTTGGTAAGTGATTCTCCTGCCCTTTGTTTCCTACCTTAACCTTACAGGTACCTCACTCTCTGCAGTTGGCTCTAATTATCCCTTCATGATGTCCCTGTTTCCCAAAAGCATGAGCCAAGAAAGGAGTCAGCCTCTCATGCCTCAGCACACTGACTTCAGCGAGGTGAGGTCTGTCACCCAGTTAGTTCCATAGAGCTTCCAGCACACCTGGAAGGGAGTAGCAGGTGACAGGGCCACACTCTATCCACATGGAAGCAAGTCCTGCAGGGTCTAAAGTGCACACATTCAAACCTTGGCGTCTGCTTCCTCCATCCAAAAGCACAAGCAGTCTTACGTGAAAATGAACTTGCCCAAACTCTGGCCCCTCCCTCTCTCAACTTGGCTGTATTTGCTATGTACTTTTTTGGTTTATTGATTTGTTTTGTTTTCCAGGACCTTATATAGGCTAGGCAAGCATTATACCACGAGCTGAATCCCAAAGTTGCATTCCTCCTGCCTCTGCATCTGGGATTATAGGTGCATGTCATCAGGCCCTGCTGTTGTTATTGTTTTGGAATAACCTACTCTGCATAGCTGGCTATGAGCTTTTTACTAGTTTAAAACTGAGAAATGCCACAGAGAAACCCTGTCTCGAAAAACCAAAAAAAAAAAAAAACTGAGAAATGCCATGACATTCCCAAGGTATGTTTCTATTAAGTCTCCATGTGTCGTACAGAAACTGACAGCAGTCCACTTCTGGACAAATGGGAACCTTGGCTCAGTCAGTGCAGAGATAGGCCACTACCCTCCCATATGTCTTCCCTGTGTCCCCTTAGCACCATGCCCCTAGAATGAGTTCCCTCTCAAAAGCACTATGGTGAGTTGGAAAATAGCTGTGAAGAGACCAGGTTCCGTGTCGGGACGTGGCTCAGTGACGCAGCACTCAACACCGCATGCATGGAGCTCTGTGCTTCTGTCAAGAGAGGCTAACAAAAGTCTCCCGAGATGTGAAGGACAGGGTAGGAAAGCATCTACAGCTGAATTGGAGCCCTGCCAAGTTCAACAGGGAGCCATTTTCTCTGTGGTTGGACTCTCAGGGCCTTTGTTATCCTGGTGCCTATTTACAGCCTCGTGCCTGCTACACAAAGACCACCATTAAGATACACGCCAATTCTGTTTTCAAATTACCCCATCTCACCTTGAACTTGTGGGTCCTCCTAAGTTAGCCTGCCAAGTAGCTAAGAGGACAGTTGTATGCCATCATGCATAGCTTGGAAATCATCTCAGTAAAGGAATGTATGTATTTCATAGTAAATCAACAGGTTCTCCCTCCCTCCCCCCTCCCTCTCTCATACACACACACACACACACACACACCAGTCACAGTTTTCCCCTCCTTCAACTCCTCCTCCCTTTCCATTCAGAAAAGAGCCTCCCAGGGATATCAATCAAACAAGGCAATACAAGATACAATAAGTCTAGGCACAAACCCCGTATGAAGGCTGAGCAAGGCAACCCAGTAGTAGGAAAAGGGTCCCAAGAGCAGGCAAAAGAGTCAGAGATACCTCTCCACTCTTCCACTGTTAGGAGTCCCACTAGTACACCAAACTATACATCCAATAATGTATGCAGAGGACCTAGCTCAGACCCATTCAGGCTCCCTGATTGTCGCTTCAGTCTCTGTGAGCCCCTTTGAGCCCTGCTTGGTTAATTCTGTGGGCCGTGTTCTCATGGTAGTCTCCACCCCTCTGGCTCCTACAGTCCTTCCTCCCCTTCCTCTGCAGGGTTCCCCTTGTGGCTGTGGAACTCTGCATCCCTACTGCTCTCATCAGTTGTTGGATGAAGTCTCTATGATGACTATTAGGCTAGACACCAATCTATGAGAAGATCAGAATAGCATTACAGATCAATTCATTGACACCATACCCATCTTGGAAATATATGTATCCTGTACATACTTGTTCTTGCCAAATGCCCTACCTGATACTTCAGGGCCAAAAGACATTCATTTCAATGTTCTTAAGCTCAAAAATGAAAAACTGGGCCAGAGCCATAGCTCAGTGATAAAATACTTTGCCACCTTGCAATGACTAAGGTTCCATCCTCAGCAACAAACACACTCAGCAGGGAAGCTAACATCCATTCTGAGCCCTCTGAGGAGTTTCATAACCAGATGAACACTTCCCCAAGACCCTTGCTGTGGTCCTAACAGCTCCTTGAAAGCTGTGTCCCAAGATCCTTTGCAGATAAAGGATGTTGGACAGGAGGCCCTGGGAACTTTCCCGTGGCCATATATAGCTAGAAAATTGTATATGATTCTGCTAGGGCTTTGGGGGCTGCCAAGGTGACACCCCACAGACCATCATCCCACAGACTAGAGGCCTAGCCAATAGAAATGCTTCCTCACAGCTCTGGATGCTGATGTTTTAAGTGAGGTGCCAGCAGAGGACCTAATCCTGAGGCTGTTCTTCTTGGCTCATGGATGGCATCCCCACTTTGTGTCTCCATGATCAGCATCTACATGTCTGTTTCCTGACCTCCTCCTCTTACGGGGACACCAGCTGTGTTGGACTCAAAGCTCAAGTTAAAGACTTTAACCACAATTGTCTCTTTAAAGATCTTGTCACCAAATGCAGGCACATCCTGAGATGCAGGCCCTGGAGAGTTCAGATCCAACATAGAAGTTTGGAGATGCAGTTCAGCTCTACCTTTCTCTAGTCTGTCCAACGTAGCTTCACAGATGGACCATGCTTAATCTTGTGCTTCCCACAGTTGACAGCAAAGATCTTTTCTCTAAGACACACACTGCCAGCCAAGGTCACGTGTGGGGAATGCAGAAGTATAACTGACATACAGCCCCATCACATGTGGATACTTAAACAAATTAGTTGTGTCGTGTGGCACAGGAAATGCATGATGAGACAGGAGGATGGCTATAGCTCTGGAGTTCAAGGTTGGCATGGGCAATATAGCAAGACCCTTCCACAAAACATAAAAATTAAAACTGAGTTAGAAATCAGTTCCTACCCCCTCCCCCAATGCCATGCAGTAGTTACACTAGCCTCCACATATACAGGCAGAATATATTTCTGCTAGCAGGGTTCTGCCCATCAGGGAAGCATAGACAGATGCTGGAAATTTCCATTCCAAAGCCTGTAGTATGTCTCAACTCAGATTCAGTGCCTGTGACTGAGGCCGGCTTAACTCCCTCCTGAGACAGGCTTGGTACCTAGACTGTTTGTGGAAGCCAGTCAGCTGAAGTCCTTCCTAGTCCCTATAGAGTGTCCCCTGCACTGGGCCTTGCCATCCTGACTACAACATTCTTTTTACAGAGGATCAGCACAGCCACGGGCGATGGCAAACATTACTGCTACCCCCACTTCACCTGTGCCGTGGACACAGAGAACATCCGCAGAGTGTTCAACGACTGTCGTGACATCATCCAGAGGATGCACCTCAAGCAGTACGAACTCTTGTGAGGGCCGCCTCTCCTCTCGGCTACCCCACAAGGCCGTGTATCTCCCTAGCCTGCGTGTCTGTCCCCCCAAGCCATGGTAGAGCGTAGTGAATGTTTAGTGTCACCGGGCTGCCATCTGTCCTGTCCTAGGTATGCCTTTGTGTGACCACCAAGCCTCTGGCTACCTCTGTCCCCCAGGTTTGGTTTCTGTAGCTTTTGTTTTTCACTGGACTAAACATCCCCTCACCACCAACCTGTATCACTGCAAAACCACCAAACTGTGGTCAAGTGTCTCTGAGTGGGAACCTGTTTAATTTTCCATTGAACAGGCCATGGGCTGACTTGTCAAAGACAAGCTGGTAAATAGGGGAAATACATTGTGTCAAGTTAACGTGGTAATGGGGGAAATGCATTGTTTCAAGTTATCGAGCATGATCACAAAACTGTTCCAACAGTGCCATGCACTGAGGCTCTTTCTGGTTTTCCCTTTATGAAACATCAGGCTAGCAGGTAGCTGCCCCTTCTGATATGCATTGGCCCAAGGCTTAGAGTAGACCCAAGCCAGCAACAGAGCAAGAGGAACTCTTTTCAGCCACAATTGCAGTGGCTGCAAGCCTCAGGCATTTGAAGTAGAGTGCTTTTTAGAGCCTTTTCCATTTAGGCAGAAAACCTGTCACATTCACTACTGTAAATTGTGTCCTGTCTATACACAAGGTGTCCCTACACCTTTGTGATAGCTGGGCATGACCTTTCCTAGCTTCTTTTTGTTGCTTTACTAGACTGTACAGACCACAAAATGTAGTGCTCTTTTGTATGACTACTGACGAAACCTCCTTGTAGAGTTCTGTGCCTTGGTGATGGCCACCCCTGAAAAGGGATATGTCCCAGTTGTTCCAGGCAGCTTACAGTCCACACGGCCTGCTGCGTACTTCACAGAGGGGAATCAGTGGGATCTGTTCATCTTAGGATATTTCTGATCAGGTTGGTATTTATGCAAGACCGTTGACTTCCCGAATCATCCACTTCACCAGCAGTGCCAACCCAACACTGGAACTGTCACAGTCACCTGCTTTTACTGCTCTGAACCTCAGCTGCTGCAAACACTGGGACAACCAAGGCATAAATTACAATCTACTCTTTTTCTTTAGTACCAAGGGTTTTATTTCCCCCACTCCAAAATCAAATGTTTCTGATGACTCCTTCAGGTTCCCTAGGCCATCCCTTAGTTAAGTTCTACACACACTCCCTACACACCTGAGGAAAACAAGGTAGTGTCAATGTTGTGAAGGAGTGAGGACAATAAGGACTAAATTTTTGGAAAATAGAATCCTGCAAAGCTACTTCTTATCTATCTCATTTATTATCTATCTGCATTGCTAGGGACAAGCCCAGCACATGGTGCATGCTAAGCGAGCACTCCACCGTTAATCCTTATCCAGTCATAATTCCAGCCTCACAAAAAATATAGGGCTGTCCTCACATGTGCAAGATCTGTAGAACACCTAGAAAATAACTCTTGCTGCACCGGTGCACTGCTCATTCTGTCTACAGCCAAGGCTTTGGGGATAGTTCTCTTAGGTTTGGAGTTTTCCGTAAAGATGTCCAAAGTTAAATTTTCATCAGTACGAACACAGAGGAGTGACAGCCTGCATTATTTACCCATCTACTTCTTGTTCTGAGTTTATCCCATAGAAGTCAGCACTGTGTAATGCTTTGTAAATTCATCCTGGCCGGGATGCTCTTCCGTGGAAGGATGGCAGCCTCCGCCAATACAGCACATCCCTTGGCTCCTCATCACTGTCTCCTTGTACCATTCTCCATCACACAAAACTTCCATGTGAGCCCACACATGAAATGAAAGTGACTTTCAGTTCCCCCGCCCTTTCAAAGAAGAAAAACTTACACACACACAGTGACGCTTTATACTACTATCTGCATTATTACTCAACAGGCCCCTGTTACTAAAGGACTGTTTGAAGCTTTTGCAGGGGCTGAATGTATAGCTCTAATGGGGGCACATGCTTAGCATGCACAAGCCCTGAGTTCAATAAGAATAAAGGAAATACAAATAAATAAAATCGGATCATTAAAAAAGATCCAAACTCCTTTAGGGAAAAAAAGAATATACTTTATCTAACAAAATTATCATACCACTATTGAACTCAAACATCCATGTCTTTTTTTTCTTTCAAGTTTCAATCAACAGGCATTGAATTCAGATGTGACATGGTCTCCTAGAGAGAAAATTACACTTAACTAAAAATCTGATTCCATTAGCACAGAAACACAAGCCTATGACAATGTTCCTGCACATTGGCTCTGTGCTTTTGAGCATATGACTTGATGATCTATAAGAAATTGACAGCCACTTCAGAGAGGGGCAGAGAAAATCCAACTTTGAGGTACACACATAGCCTCAAGTGTGCACCAAAGCTGCTGGGTCCTCCCTGGGGAAGCAAGGGCTGTGTGTTGTGCATGCGAGTGACAGTGTCGGTTACATTTATATACTTGTACAGACGCAACCTTTGATTATACATATATTTGATAAAACAAAAAGACACATTCCATTTTTTTATAGCATGAGAACAGTACAGTCAACTGTTTATTCTGCAGTCCCTGGCATTGATGCTTCAGAATTCCCATGATGTGCATTAGGACAATCAACACTGGCTCTCCTCTGGGGCTCATGTGAGCCCCACCGGAAGTCCTACGTCTCTGGCTTTGATTTACATTACCATACGCAGCAGTCACAAGCTCTTCATCTTCTTGTGTGCATTCTGCACAGTTTCCAACCAAGCAGAAAGGATGAGGGCAGACGCTCCAAGTGAGCTAAGACAAGGACCACGAGGCAGCCAGCTGCTGCACCGTATGCGGCCAGCACCCTGTCCTCGTTTGGGAGGTAGCACTTGGAGAGAGCATAATCCTTGGACGTCAGACTGCCCTGGGGAAGAAAGAGAAAGTTTATGCTTCAGGGCGAGTCCCAGGCACAGCAATCTGACTTAGGGGCTATCTTCTAGGTTCCCTGAGGGGGTCCGGGAGGGAAGAGCCCTTATCACCCAGGACCAAGGGGCTTCAAGCATAGCAAGTCACCACTGGCCGGAGGTGCTGGCAGAAGAAAGACGCCAAAGCTCTGTTGGCTCAGGGAGAAGCTCTGGCATGCTGACCCCTCCATTAAAACATATCCCTCATATAGTAGGGCAGCCCTGGAGGGAGGCCAGGAGGCACCCTGCCATTTGATAGCAGAGCAGTCCCTCTGTCACCCCGAAGTGCCCCTGCATCTCCACAGGCTTTCCATTTGTAAGCAGCTTTCGATGTGGAAATCAAGGTAGCAAATGTTTTCACTTACTTGAACTTGAAAACACACAGAGTCCCCACCTTTTTACAGATAGAACTATAGAACAGCAGCATGAGACTGGGTGCAAGAACCCATGGTTACAAACAAGGGGTTTCACTGAGTCAACACCTTTCGCCAACTTGGACATTTTGTAGGACCATGTGCCTGGCACACTTAGAAAATGAGAGATGACCAAGTCTGCTAATGCACAGACAACAGTTTCCTTGGAAACAAACTGGTACTTGCGGGACTCCACTCTGCTCTCGAGATAAAATTCCAGCAGCTGCTCCTCAGAGTCCTAGCCCTGAAGCCATGCTCTGCCTGTTTGTCCCCAGACAGACGGGCAGTACGTCCAACTCAAGAGTGCAAAGAGGGCATTTGATTTCTGACTTTTGTGTGTTTTTACAGATTGCAGCCATTAAATAGTTGATTACTGTGTTGATTTCAATACTCCAGAAAGCTTTCGGATAAAAAAAAAATAAAGGTTTACGTTACCATGATGAAGCTGGGGTTGTTTCTGTTCCTCCAACTGAAGGACGGGACGCTCACCTCAGGGACTCCTCCAGGATGGAGCACTTCACAGGCACTGTGTGTGTGGCCGCTCAGAACCAGGCGAGGCTGGAGCCACCACAGCAGCTGGCAGCCAAGGAGATGCAGGTAGACAGTTAATGCTCAGACTGGCAGTGATACCTCCATGCTTATTATCAGTACACAATAATCCTTAATAGGTAGGGCAGGCTTGTTTTTTCTCATAATCCCTATTCCTAATAAACCTTAGAACCCACGCTTCCTATCACAGACTGGTATGTTACTTTTTTGTTTTGTTTTTGGTTTTGGTTTTTTGAGACAGGGTTTCTCTGTGTGGCTTTGGAGCCTGTCCTGGAACTGGCTCTGTAGACCAAGCTGGCTTCGAACTCACAGAGATCTGCTTGCCTCTGCCCCCCAAGTGCTGGGATTAAAGGCGTGGGCCACCAATGCCCAGCTATGTTACTTTATTTTTACAAATTTATTTCATAAATACTTTCCACAAACATATTTATATTTAAAATATAAATTTATACTTACATTTAATATTTACACATTTACATTTTAATATATTTCTGTTATGATTTCTAATTGAATCACCCCAAATTAGAATCTAAGTTTCGTTTACACTCAGTTCATTTAAGTTGACTTAAAAAAGCTTAGCATAAAGATTAACCAAGAACGTAATTATAATGGAGATTAGGAAATAGTGTATCTACCAAGGGACAAAAGAACAAAGTGATTGGGTGAAATCTGAGATTGCCACAGCCCTTCCCCTTCCTACAGCTATTACCACAAAGGCCCTGTGTGCTCATTCCGCTGGCCCCATGCAACACTGGCATGAGGGCACGTCACCACACACCTTTTGTGAAGCCTCCCGAGAAAGCACATCGTATTTCTCCTTGAAGGGGACATTCCTTTCCTCTGGAGGAGCTGCATCTTCACCGGAACAATTAGCGTCGCTGGCCCGATAGAGCGGGTAGTGCTGTCCAGGATTAAAGTGGCATCGGTGAGACTCTGGGAGGCGAGGCTGGCTGGACTTAACTTCCTCCCCCAGCTCACCTGCAGCAGCACGGGGGCGGAAAAGGGGAGCCGCTGCTCACCTTCACACTGGCCGGAAGCCTGCACCTGCTGGTCAGAAGTCACCCTGTTAATCCAACCAACCCAGTGCTTACCCACTGGGAGAGGAAGGGGGAGCTGGGTGACTGACAGCCAGTGCACGACCGTGGCACCTTTGGAAGACAGGAGCGCAGAGGCCTCTGCTGTTCCAACAGTCTCCTACCTCTCGGGAGCAATTCAGTTTACGAGAAATCTCTCTGAGTTCAGCTTCCGCTTCAGAGCAGATGCTACAACCATCCCCTTCCATTGCGACGCTGTTGACCATCACAAAACTGAGGCAGACAGGAGCAGGCAGAAGGTCAGGCCACTGGACACATGTGTGAGCCTCTTTTCCCATTGTCCCCATGGAAGCATTATGCATCCATAGTTTGGTGAAGCAAGCCCAAGAGCAGGTTAGTCCCAGCTAAACTAATTATGAGTTAATATTGACAAGACAAAAATGGCACTATAGCCGAGATTCGATGGAAGCTGGGCTTGTTCTGTTGCTCCAAATGAAAGGACCTGTTACGAGAATTGTTTCCCACCAGCCTGGTCCCACAACTGCGTCAGCCCCAAATGAACACTCAGGGAATTCCATTATAATATTGTTGTCTGATGACTAGGGCTTCTTATTAGCTAGATCGGTCTTAATTATTAACCCATAGCTACTAATCTATGTATTTCCATGTGGTCTTGGCTTACCGGAGAATGCCAGACTTGCAGCTCCTTTGCCTGCTACATCGTGACTGTTATGGTGGGAGCCCCTTGCCTACCTTTCCCAGACTTCTCCTCCTCCCCTAGTCCCACCTATTTTACTGCCTCATTGGTCCAACAGTGTTTTATTCATCAACCAATAAGAGAAACATATACAAAAGGACTCCCCCTTGCACGGGGTCTGACTAGCCCTCAATCCAGCGTCCAGTTAGAAGCACGTCCTTGGGCCAGCTCCTGAACCTGTGTCTCACCTATGCAGCTGTGTGAAGACCAGGACGCCTACACCACCACCTGGTGCTAAAGGGTTAGTGAATCCATGCAGCAAGTGCTCAGAACAGCAAACTCTAAAGTAGACCAAGGAAGCTCACAGGACACTTCACACAGCAAGGAACACTCAGGACCAAGTGCTGCCTGATACTAAACTAGGCTTGGATAATCCCTAACCAGGATATCAAGTCAAGACTGGCTAGCCTTTACCTTTGTCACATTTTTATGGACTCCCATGAAAATATGCTTTTATGTCCTGTACTCATAGCAGCTGGGTATGGGAAAGGTACTTGTCAGCCAACTGCTTAAAATGCGAACAGTTTTCAGTACAGGGAGCTGAACTGGCCTGAAATCTAGTTCACGCATGAGTTCTGAAGTTAAACGGGAGTAACTCTGTGACATCAGTCCCGTGGCTCTGCAGAAAAGGAGGGTATTGCTGGAGAGACTACCCTCCACCCCAGCAGGCTTACAAAAGAGGAGTACTGGTGGAAACCCCATGAGACTTCCATCTCCAGCTCTAAACAGTGATGGCCTCACTGCATCACCATCAGCATGGTTCTGGGACCACAGAGGGGACAGGACTGAAAAAGCAAAGGTTCCCTCCACTGTGTGGACTAGAGCACAGGGACACAGTCTCGGAGGCTATACTGCCAACAACACAGAGAAGGTCCAGAGTGGCCCTGCTCATGGCCTCATGGGGGTGGGGCATTCAATGGCCAGACTAAGGGCTTGGCTTCTCTCTTCTAGAGGTCAAGGCTAATGAACTAAGAAGGCAGAGAGAGCTACGGAAACACTGGACACACTTGGCACCGAATGCCAGGGCATCATACCTATCAGAGTGGCCCTGGTAAAATGGTACAAATACATTTGGATCAAATGAGAAGCTGCTTTATGACGTACACAGTGGCATGCGCCTACAGTCCCAGCTCAGGAGTTTGTCACAACATGGACAACATAGCAAGACCCTGTCTGCAAAAGCAAGCCACAAAAGCACCTGGACAAAGTAGGATGTCAAATGCCTAACACTTGGGACAGTGCAGACAGAATGCCACGCCCACTGGGAATGGGAGGAGTCAGACTGATTTCTTCACTGTGGCTGGTTCTAAATGCTCCCATCTGTCAATTCCCACAGTGACCACCAGCAAGCAAGGCACCAGGTAACGCAGGACATGGGTCTGACCATACGGTGGCAACTCCCTTTGGATAACATTGGATTTGAGCTGGGGACACAGTTCAGTGGGAGGGTCTGAAGTCTCTGGGCTTCACCCCCAGTACCTCATTTTTTTAAAGAAGTTTCATAAGAATTCACAGGTAATACTCACTTAACTCCTTTCCAAGAGAACAGCCTTTCTGAGCTGAACACTTTCTCAAATCGTTTTATTCTGTATTTACTCATCCTGTATCCAATTATAAAAAGAGACACTTTTCAGGTCAAGCTGTCTTAGCACTGTGGAGTTACCATGAACATGAAAAATAACTTCTACAATCTGGCATTAATAACTGGCCTCGGGCAATTGAGGCTCAAAGGTCAGGTCCACTAGCTATCATAGGGGGAGAGTGAGTTACTTAGTTCCCTGGGACCTCAGTGGACCGGTAAGCAACAAGACACAAAAGAGAGAAGGGATACAGACAGTACCTAAAATGACTGCCACTTAAGTGTCACAGCACGCTATCATGTGAGCTAGTAAAGGGCATGGGAAATATATTCTGACTTCTAGTCTGACATGAAGTATACATTTTCATTTAGAGGTTGAAGGCAGGAGGATTGCAAGTTTGAAGGTCACCCTGAACTATAGAATAAGAGTGAGTCTCAAAAAATAAAAAAGTAGCCGGGTGTGGTGATTCCTTTAACCCCATCATGTGGGAACAGAGGCAGGCAGAGTTTGGGGTCAGCCAGTTCTACACAGTGAGTTCCAGGACAGCCTGAGCTACATAGTGAAACCCTGCCTCAAAAAATAATAAAGAAGATTAATTAATTACATTTTAAGTTAGATTCTTTTCATGGCACATACAACTCATTCATTCCAGATATTTGTTGAGGGTGTGAATATGCCCAAAAAACCTGTTTTTTAATTTCTTAAGGAGCCTCCATTTTAGAACGTCCATCTTTAAAGGAAAACAAATTTCTTCAGTAAAACACACACATGGCTTTCCCCAAGTTTTAACAGCTTTAAAATGCTAATGTCTGAGCAAACATTCTTGGGGCACGATTCTTTCCCACACTACTCACTGATAGTGGAAGCCAATGTCATGATTGCCAATGACCACCTTCAGCTGCACATGGCTACCATGCCTGAACATCTTCTGAAACCGCTGCACATCATCTGCCCAGGCCTGAGGGAACAAGAACCACAGCTGAAAGCCTCAAGCACTCTTCCCTCTGGCAAAAACAGGATCCCATTTCGTCTGGAAAATGAAACCCCTCCTCCAAGACAACAGTTTTTTGTTTTGTTTTGTTTTGTTTCATTTGGTTTTTTGAGACAGGGTTCCTCCGTGTAGCCCTGGCTGGCCTTGAACCCAGAGATCTGCCTGCCTCTGCCTCCTAAGTGCTGGGATTAAAGGTGTGCGCCACCACTGAGGGGCCAAGTTTTAGTTCTTTTTCCAAGACATCTATTTGCAGCCATGGCAAATGTAGTGGTAAATGCAGTAAAAATTTTCTACAAGAAGCTGACGAATTTTCCACTTTGGGACCCTCACTCAGGGAAGCCAGGATCATGACTAATGACACAGAAAAGATTTTCGAGGGAGTCATGGGAAGCTGGTAGGCTTACGTGTTCACAGTTTAGATTTAAGAGAAAGCATTGAGGGGAGACTGTGCAAGTGTCTTGGCAGCTTTATGTACTGTTTTGTGACTTTTGCAGTCACCTTGTTCAAAGATTAAGTTTTAAATTAGATAAAATAGACATTGAGCTAGCGTATGCATTTCTCATCTTGAAGAATACCCAACTTCAGGCATGGTGGCCCATGCTTGTAATTCCAACATTCCACAGGCAGATGCAGGAGGATCACCTGTTAGTTGAAGCTTTAAGCCAACCTAGTCTATAGAGTGTGTTTCAGAGCAGCCAGGGCTAGACCCAGTGTCTCAAAAACAAAACTAAAAAAAAAAAAAAAAAAAAAAAAAAAACCAGAAATTTCCTTTTGTGAATGAAATTATAAGTTAGTTTATGAGGGCTACTGTTCAAAAGCGTAGTGAGGAAAGAACAATGTTGGTAGGTATCCAGATCTGCTTCAGCTGTAATATAACACTCACCAACAGCAACTTGGAGAGGAAAGAGCTTATTTTTTTTTATTTATCTATTTATTCATTATTTATTTTGGCTTTTCGAGACAGGGTTTCTCTGTGGCTTTGCAGCCTATCCTGGAACTCACTCTGTAGACCAGGGTGGTCTGGAACTCACAGAGATCCACCTGCCTCCGCCTCCTGAGTGCTGGGATTAAAGGGGTGCGCCACCACTACCGGAGAGGGTTAACTTTAATTTACAGGTTATAGTCATTCACCAAGGGAAGCTGCAATGGGATCTCATAGCAAGAACCAGGAGACAGAAACTGAAGAGAGACCACAGAGAGACAATGATTACTGCCTTGCCACCAGGCTCACCTACCTTTAGACAGCAGGGATCGCCCTAAGAGGGGGCACTGGCCACAGTGAGCCAGACTCCTTTCCATCCATTAGCAATCAGGAAAACGCTCCCAGGGCCAGTTTCTTAAGTGAGGTCCCCTCTTCCCACATGTCTCTGTAGTTTGTTGCAAGCTGACAAAACCTAACCAGCACCAAAGGATTCACTGCAAAGGTCAAGTACATTCTGACCATAGCAGGATGACTGCTGACTGCTTCAACACTCTGACCTGACAAGGGAAATGGGTCTTATGTCTTTGACAGTCTCCCCTGATTTTGTCAGTGTTTAAGTTTTTGACAAAGGTTACTGGAGGGATGGCTCTGCTGCTCTTGCAAAGGACCTGGGTTTGATTCCTAGCACCCATGTAGCAGCTTAAAATCACCTGTAGCTACAGTTCAAGGGCATCTAACATCCTCTCCTGGCCTTCAAAGGCACTGCACACATGGTGCAGGCCAAGACTCAAACACACAAAAATCTAAAAAAAAAATAATAATAAAGTATTCAATAGGTATAGTGGGGTTCCTTACCCTTCACAGCTCCCCTTAATTCCCCTGCCTTTCTTGTGTGTGTGTGTATGTGTGTGAGTGTTGTGTGAGTGTGTGTGTGTATGTGATGTAGCTACACACATGCCATAACATACATGTAGAGATCAGGGACAATTTCCAAGAATCAGCTCTCTTCTTCCACCATGTGTTTCAGGGGTCAATTTCCCCATCCCCTGTTCTGTCTCACTTCAGTACTTTTCACCTGGTACTTAAAGCATCTCAGCTGTGATCCCCATATAATTTATTTCAAGACCCCTGAAGCCCATGAAGGACCCAGTCTGAGAAGCATCTCTGATCTGGATTGTTACAAGAACAGACCCAGGCCTGGTATTACTCTGAGAAATAAACATAACAGTAAAGTGAGTCTAAATGGTATATTGCTATGCCCATAGTACATAGCGGTAAAGTGAGTCTAAATGACATATTGCTGTGTCCTTAGAACATAATAGTAAAGTCAGTCTTAATGACATATTGCCATGTCCATTGAACATAGCACTAAAGTGACTCTTGATGACATATCCCCATGTCCACAGAACATAGCAGTAAAGTGAGTCTTAACGGCATACTGCTCAAAGCGTCATTCGACCCTCAGCAGAGAAGCTGCTTCCTGCAGCAGGTGAGAATTAACACAGAGACCCACAGTGCAACAATGTGTATAGAGTGTGGGGCTTTAGAGGACTCAGCCCTAAATGCATGTCTTATCACACCCCTCCCCTCAAGACTCACAGTGGAAGAAGAGATGGAAAGATTGTAAAAGGCAGGGCAGTGGACGATTTTAAAGAAAAAGCTCTTTCCAGACACAACAGGGCAGATGCACACAGGAACTCAAACTGTGACAGTGTGAGCAGGACCTGCACACACTCAAACCAGACAAAACCCCCAGCTCCTAGGAGGGGAAGTCCCACCCCAAGCCAAGGAGTCGTTCACCACTGACCCCTGCTGGGAGAGGGACAATCAGTCTTCTCCAATGGAGTGACACTGGGAATGCCAACCACACGCTCGGGAGTAGTTGGCCAATACAAATTGGACTCCGTGGTTTTTAGAAGTTTTGTTTTTGTTTTTTGAGAGACTGTGAAGTTGTGTGGGGAGGTAGGAACTGGGAAGAGTTGGGAGCTGGGAAAGAATATGATGAAAATATAATGTGTGAGGACTGGAGAGATGGCTCAGTGGTTGAGAGCACTTCCAGAGGTTCTGAGTTCAATTCCCAGCAACCACATGGCAGCTCACAACCATCTGTAGTGAGATCTGGTGCCCTCCAGTAGCATGTATGCATACGTGCCAAGAGAGCGCTCATAAAATACATACATAAATAAAAAATGTTAAAATATATGCTGTATGAAATTTAAAAATAAAAAAAACAGACCCAGTACATATCAAGTCAACCTTCACACATCTCAACCAAGACAGGGGTGATACCATCCCTCAGAATCCACTGAGAGAACAAAAATGAATGACATGTGGGAAAGGGGAAGACAGAAGATGTATATCACAATAAGTATGTCAGGATTATTCAGACATTTGCATTCACTATTAAAGATCCAGAGTTATGTTAGCACAGTTCTCCCTCTGAAGAGTCTAAGAGTGTCAACTGAATGGATAACCTAAGGTAGGCAAAACAAAAACAAAAAATTCTAGGTAGCAATCATCTATAAAAGTTGAAATACACCAGGCGTTGGTGGCACATGCCGTTAATCCCAGCACTCGGGAGGCAGAGGCAGGCGGATCTCTGTGAGTTTGAGGCCAGCCTGGTCTACAGAGAGAGTTCCAGGACAGCCTCCAAAACAATACAGAGAAAACCTGTCTCAAAAAGAAAAAGAAAAGTTGAAACACAGCACTATCTAACAAAATAAGCGGATGGAGTCCTTCAATACAGTTATAAAGGCTCATTTAACAAAATGTTTAAAGTTAAAACAACATAAAATCAGGATTTAAAAACTGAGGAAGAAACTTGAGATATTGCTATTAACGCTCAAAAACAACACAGAAGAAAGCTGAACTCGCTGTGCCGCTCGTTGCCTTACATACAGCATTTCCAGCAGTCCTCAACCTTTGGCAACCTTCTATCTCCAAAAACATGTACATTATAATCCATAACAATAGAAAAATTACAGTTATGAAATAGCAACAGAAATGATTTTATGGTGGGGGATCAGCACAGCATGAGGAACTGTATTAAAAGGTCACAGCATTAGAAAAACACTTTCACATTTTAGTTATCTATGTATTTGTGTCATTCTTTCTTTGCACCCTGTGGTAGACAGGCTTGGCTGCAAAGCACCCTCACCCACTAAGCTCTCTTTCCAGCCCCTAAGACTTGAGCAGCTTTTGGGCTGTTCTAGAAAATGCAAATGGATTTGTGATTATTTCCCAGTAAAAATCCCTTCTAAACTGCTGGAGCATGTGAAGGGGCCAGACCTGCAGATCCAAAGCTACAGGATCTCATGACACAAGACAGCAACAGGATGTCCAAGAGGAGTCCCAGTGAGGGCCCAGTATTGAGAGTGTAGCAGAAGCCGGAGGCCTCGAACCAGACCAATGACTCATTGCAATACGAGCAAAGATATACGGACCAAAGGGTATACTGTGTGATTCACTGGGCCACACTACAGGGTGTTTTGTCTTGTTTCGTTTTGTTTGTATGTTAGTTTAGTTGTTTTTGTTCTGGGAGTTTTGGGTTTTTTTTTTTAACTTTATTTCATTTGGGGGGGGGTGCAGAGGGCGGATTCCACCAGGAGAGGAATGGAATCCAGATGCATGATGTGAAAACTACAAAGAATTTTTTTGAAAATCCTTTCTAAAAATAAATTAGTGGCTGTACATATTTAAGTCAGCAGGAAAAACATTCCTCACTTAAGAACATATTAAGCAGAACACTCTGACAGCTCTCTCCTTTTGTGGAAAGATGTACATCACCCCCTTACCAAGCAGCGGTCTCAGGCCCCGAGTGCAGGGAACCCACACCTGCAGCTCCTTCTGTACAGTTGAACAGGGGATAAAATTAGGGTCTGGACCGTAGCTCAGTGGTGAAGTGCTTGCCTAGCAAGAACAAGAGCCAGGGTTCAATCCCCCGTGCCACCAAAGGAAGAAAAGAAGCGTATGGAGTTAAATGTCCATCTTAGCATGTATCCTGTAATCCCAGTAAAGGAGAATTAGCACCGCCTTACCTGTTTACTCAGGTTATAGGGCTGTTCTCCAACTATATAAATGATGTCAGCCTAACAACATATTTCCTACATAGATAATAAAAGATTAGACAACCTAATGCAAGACTGGCATTGGGAGAAAACCCTAAGGATCTTCAAGATAGACTATATTTGGGAGCTAGGGACCAAACTGAGGGCCCCACCCATGCTAAGTACCCACTCAACTAGTGAGTGACATCCCTGGCCATAGAACCATGCATTCCCAAGATCAGAATTCAGAAAAACTTGCAGCCCAAGCCTCTAGAACTTCACAGACTGTCTGGGCTGCTGAAGTTAATTCTTTGAAGCAGAATTAGAACCCAGATCCTACCTGGGCGGTACTCCACTTCCCTTCATCAAAGATGTCCCCCAAAATGAAGATGACTTCTGGTTGCAGCAACCGCAGTGCTGTCTGAAAGGCTCTCTCCATTTGCCACTCCCTTGAGAAAAATTAGAACATCGGTCTGTTTCTTAGGTGAAGGAAACTACTTGAGCCTTCTCAGTCATTTAGAAGGTGAATTAGCCTGGTGTGGTAGTGCCTGTCTTTAATCCCAGCACTTGGGAGACAGAGGCAAGCAGATCTCTATGGGTTTAGGGTCAGCCTAGTCTACATGGCAAGTTCCAGGACAGCCATGGCTACATAGTGAAAGCCTGTTACAAATAAGTGAGTTACATGAAGGAGTAGAGAAGCAAACACAAAGAATTAAATGATCCCATTCTCTGTCTCCTATGGCTCTAATCTTGATTTCTAAACTTCAGTTTTGGAACAACCAATTGACTTGCGTCTGATCAAAATTAGGGACTTTTAGGCTGTCCTTCTCTCACCCCCAAATGCCCTGATACCATCAGCCCAACACAAGAACTCCACCCACATGGCAGCTCAAAACTGTGTAATCCGGTTCCAGGGACTCCGGGCAACCTGGGTATACATGGCTCCGGCAGGCCTTGCCTTTCTCCCTGATTCTCTCTTCCTAAAGTTAGCACCAGGGTCTATTATTCCCTTATTTAACCACTTCCTCCCTCTGAGACTATCGAACTCCAGCTACCAGAGTATTGAAGTCCTGCAATCAAAAGACCCCTAGGCTCACCTAATCAGCATGCCCAATTAAAATCAAACACCTCATCCTACCTAGCACAGGGTTCCCCTTTGCCCTTTATAAACCACCATTTTACTGTGGTCCGAGTCTGTCCTCTCTTTATCCACAGGCAGTCCTTTGTCCCACTCCCAAATATCCCTGCCCCCTCACCCTTGTTCCTTCCCCTTCTCCCTGGTCACCTACAGCCTATCTCCCTGCCCTTTGTCCCTCTGGGCCAAATAAATCTCCTTTGGGTTGCGAACCTGGATTTTTTTTTATGCTTTTCCTTTCAGTTCTGACAGCCCCTCCACACACACACACATACATGCAGGCAAATTACTAATGCATATAAGATTTAAAAAAATTTTTTTTTGGTTTTTACGAGACAGGGTTTCTCTGTATTGTTTTGGAGGCTGTTGGTCCAGCCTGGCCTCGAACTCACAGAGATCCGCCTGCCTCTGCCTCCCGAGTGCTGGGATTAAAGGCGTGCGCCACCACTGCCCTGCTCAGATTTAAAAAAAATTTTAAAAAGCTCAGCTCCATCAGTTGTAAGCGGAGCCTTGGGAATCTTTCTCATTCTGATTCCCAGTTTCTTTCTTAGTAATGAAGACAAAAAAAAATAAAAAATAAAAAAACATTGCCAGCATAATGATGCACTCCTGTCATCCCAGCACTGGGAGGAAGAGGCAGGAAGGTCATGAGTTCAAGGCTAACACAGACTACGTAGAAAGACTGCCTCCAAAAATAATTGATTTCTTTACCATGAAAGAGCCCACTCTCCAGGGATAGCGACAGAGTTAAATTAGTTGGTGCTTGTGTGGTGGCAGCACAGGAACATGTGCGGGTTCCTCAGTCTGCACCTCCTCCCCTCACCAACTCCAGCTCCTGTCACTGTCCTAAGGGTCCCCCATCTTCCCTTGCCCTTAGGGCTTGCTCCAGGGTGCTTCTCTAAAGGGGAGCACCCAACCATAAAGAAATAAAAGAAAGCTGGATTTTTAATTGTTTAGTCACAGTAGGTTCCTTTAGAACCCAAATATTCAGTATACATCACTACTTAAAGGTTTGTCATTCCAGACAGTTCTGTGGCACAGCAGCGTTGGGGCTCAGCAGGGGAAACTGACCCCAGACAAAGCCTGTGACCTCACCCCGGCCTTCTCTAGCTCAGCCTCCATTGACCAGAGCTCTTCCTCAAAGGACCTGGCGGCCCCTCCCCTGCTTTCTTCCGGCCTTCTCCACCCACACTGGGAACATCACACATCCTGCCCACGCTGCCACCCTCGGTCACCCACACCTGCAGCACTCCCAGGATCCTGCCTCTTGAAAGATTGCTCCACTTTTAGAGAACAACCTAGCTGCCGTGAGGAGCACTACAGTTGGATCTGCAATGTCCCCAGGGGGCTCACATGTGGCGGACATGGTGGCCCACTTACAGGCATTAGAAGTGGCTGGACCCTAAGGGTTTGAGCATCACCATGCATTACGGGGAGGTGTGACCTAGCTGGAAGGAGATCAGTGGGGGGGGGGGGGAGCTTCTTCCTGTCCCTCCTGCTTCTTGTCCACAGTGAGCTGAGCAGTTCTGCTCTACTATCTCCTCCACCATGACACTCCGCCTCACTTCAAGGCCAGAAATAAGAGAGCAAAGCATTGCTGAACTAAGGGCCACCCCTCACCCCACCCCACCCCACCCCACCCTGCAGCTGTTAACCAAAATAAGCATTTTTCTTCTTTTAACATGTGTCAGGTATTTTGTCTCAGTGATAAAAGCTAAGACAAGGAACAGCTACGGGTTCACCAGTGGCCTGCTGCAAGAGCCTCACCAATGCCTCTGTTACATTGTCTACCCACTGAAGGTTTTCAAAATGTGCTCCAAGCTGAACCTATAATCCCAGCCCTTAAAAGACTGATAGGAGCTGGGTGGTGGTGGCACATGCCTTTAATTCCAGCTCTTGGGAGGCAGAGGCAGGTGGATCTCTGTGAGTTCAAGGCCAGCCTGGTCTACAGATCGAGTGCCAGGACAGCAAGGGCTGTTACACAGAGACACCGTGTCTCAAAAAAAAAAAAAAAAAGGACTGATGGGATCGCCACAAATCCAAGGCCAGCCTGGGCTTCATAGTGAGTTTAAGGCCAGCCTGGGCTATGGGATAAGTCTCTGCCTCAAATAGCAAACGAAACTATGAGGTCCAAACAAGGGAATATGGTTCATTTTTTTAAAGGAATGAAATCCTGGCATGTGCTACAATATGGGTGAACCCTGAAGAACATTATGCTAAGTGAAATAAGCTAGTCACAGAACGACTTGCTAATATGGTTCCTCTGTCTGCTGTAGCCAGGTTCACAGAGACAGAAAACACATGGTGGCTTCCAGAGACAAGGAAAGGGAGCAAAGTGAGGATTGGTGCCGCACGGGTACAGCGGCAATTCTAAAGGAAAACACCTAGAGGTGGACAGTAGTGACGACTGCTCAGCAATCTGAAAGCGAAAAGGCCATTGTGAGTCTGCATAAAAACAGACAGGTGAGTGTATGTGCTGTGTATTTCACCTCCATTCAAAATAGAGAACGTGAAAAACTTGCTGGAGCAGGTCAAAGTTGAAGAGGCAAAACCTCGTCCATCCTCCAGGAGACAGGCTCATACCTGCCTCGTGCCTCTTGTTACCCAGAGGAGCCGAAAACCCAATGTGCTCAGACTCACACACCACCAAGAATGAAAGGGAACTCAGTGCAGATTGGCATCCTCCCGCCCAGGGACCACTCCCACATGCCAGAGCCTGTGTGGGTGCCTTCTCCACACAGCTGTGAGGTTTCCTGTACTAGCCCAGTGACTGAAAAGGAAGCAGGACTTACAGACTCACCAAACTCCCAGAACCAGCCAGCAGCCCAGGCCATGCCCTAATTACAGGGCTCTGCACATAATAGGTGCGTAATAATTAGGAGAAAATTCAAAATCTCCCATGTGTCCTTAGACGGAAATGCAGCTGTAACCAAAAGCTTCTTAGCTGACCCATGGGATCAGGGCTATACCTTTCTGCCTGCAGAATTACAGAAGGATTTCCACCTTCACCTCTTACCTCCGTAATTTGTCCAGCCAGTGACCTCTTATCTCCCCAAGCAAGTGAGTGTCAGCCAGAAACATGGCTTTCAGCACAGGCTTCTGCCTACCGCCATGGGCTTGTGTCTTCACCTCAGGCCAACGGCACCGAAAGATGACTAGGTAGTAGATGAAATATTCACAAAACAGAAGCACAGAGATGACCACAACTATGAGTTTCAGCAGCAACACTCTGCTCAGCGGGTGGGAGTTCCATCTTCTCAGTCCCCATTTGACTAGAGCCATATCTCCCACCCAGGAGCTGCCGGCAGGAGAGGGTTGAGCTCATCAAGAACCCTCTGCTGAAGCCTGAAGAGGGTGATGGAGAGGGGTACCGCCCCAAGCTGTACCTACAGGGAAGAAGGAAAGAAAAATCCCTGAAACTTGACTGTGCGTGTTTCTACAAAGATGGGTTTGCCCTACAAATTAGTCTTGAAAGTTCAGATGGCCTTTCTTCATATGACCCCCATGTACCAGGACTTTTCTGAAGGACACTTAGACATTTCTGTGCTCATCCTGAATCCTAGGTAACCTTGCATCCTGTAAGGAAGCCGGTTTTTGAGACATCCAAGTAGCACGCCTGGTGAAAAGATGCCTTGAGATATGCCTTGAGCTTCATTCCAGAGAGGTCAGAATTCCTCAGTACAGTACTCAAGATGAGTGTGTGAGAAGGCCAATGGCCTGCAGGCCTCAGAGAGCTTAAGCATCAGAGAAGCCACCCCAGGAAGTGAGGCCATAGCCAACAGTGAGCAGAGATCCCAAGTGAACTCACAGAGAAAGCCAACAACAGCAACATGTCTGTGCTTCTTTACATGAATCCAGGATTGTATTGGTTCGTAGGCACCGAGTCATGAGCACACTCAGTGCTAGAGCGTTGACAATTGTCTCTGTGACCTCCAGACTTTAGGACCACTCACACAGACATCCCAGTTCCTGGCTCATTTCACAGTAGCATTCTACACTGAGCCATTGGCAGTGGGTGAAGAAAGTCTTTGAACACCTTACCCAAAGAAAAAGAGGCCAGGTGTGGTGGTGCACACCTTTAATCCCAGCATTCAGAAAGCAGAAGCAGATGGATCTCTGTGAGTTTGTGGCCAATATAGTCTACATAGTGAAATCCTGTCTAAATAACAAAACAGAAAAAGAGAACAAGCAAACACATAATTGGAACTGTTGTCCAAAGTGAGCAAATGGCTGCAGAATTGGAAAATGAAGCGAGAAGCTTCTGTTGTAACTCAGGCCAGTGGCCACCTTTAAGACAGAAGAAATAAGTTCCTGCTTCCTCTGAAATGAGGACAGTCACATAGAGGTGATGGGAAGGGGAAGGGCTTCACCAAAGCCACCATGCCTCTCAAAACAGTTCAACAGCTGGAAATGGTAGTACACACCATCCCAGTACAACTCTGGAGGCTGAGACAGAGATAAATTTAAGGTCAGCCTGAGCAACTTGGTTAAACTCTGACTGAAAATAAAATTTATAAAGACCTTGGGGTTTCTTCAATGTAGAATGTGTGCCTAGTATACACCAGGCAGAGACTGGATCCTAAGTTTAGAGGGTATGCAGGTGTAGGGGTGTGTGTGTGTGTGTGTGTGTGTGTGTGTGTGTGTGTGTGTGTGTGTGAAGAATATATATCCTCCCTCCCCCACCTTACAAAATTACCTCACACTAAGAACTTAAAAAATGAAAGTACAGTCATAGCAACAAGCGGAGAGTTAGAAGTTACTCCTGTTTGGCTTTGACAAAGAGGTTTAAAGGTTGTTAAGTAGGCACACAGAATGATTTTTCATCTATCCCATTTATAACTCTACAGAGGAAAACCCAGGCTTGCTCACCCTTAGGAGGAAGTGATGGCAATCCTCCCTTGAGGTTCTTTGGGGAAAGTTTTCAGGAAGAAATAAGTAGAAAAGTGCAATGAGTTAGGTTCCTCTACTCAGTTGATCCAAGCATCTGGGAAGCCATCATCCTAACTAAAAGGTCTGAGGATTTGTGATGGGAGTTATGGTCTCGAACAAAAGTCTCCTTCTACAGATTTGGATTTAAGACATGAGAGAGAGAGAGAGAGAGAGAGAGAGAGAGAGAGAGAGAGAGAGAGAGAGAAAGAGAGAGAGAGAGAGAGAGAGAGAGAGAGAGAGAGCACCTTGTGTGCCCTGCTTGGCCACAGAGTCAACATATTACCTCACCATGTAAAGAATGTTGTCCCTAAGCTGAGTTGGGTTCCAAGGCTCCAAACTGGCATCTGCATTCCAAAATCAGACTGCAACCAACTGAAATAAAACAGAAAATGTGTTTTGAGGCTGATTTTATTTAGTGAACTATCAACAGATAACCTGTGAAAGTAAAAGGGAAGCTGAATTTGTTTGTTGTGTTTCGTTTTTAATGACTGACATTGTGGTATTCAAGACCTATTCTTTCCAGGCCTAGGAATGTGGCTCAAGGAAGAATACATCTGATTCCCCACATCACAATCAAGTTGTCTTAGTTTGGTTTCTATATAAACACCATAACCATAAGCAACTTCGGGAGGAAAGGGCTTATTTGGTCTACATACCCCGGGTTATTGTCCACTCAGGGAAAACAAGGCAAGAACTCAAGGCTACCTAGAAGCAACTGAAGCAGAGACTTTCTCGCCCTGGCTTGTTCACTTTGCCTTTTTATCCTCTAAGGACCACCTGCCTGGGAGTGCCCGCCCACATCAATCATTAACCAAGAAAATGCCCCACAGACTGGCCCGAAAGGGGCAATACCTCCGTTGAGATTTCCTCCTCCCAACTCAGTCTAAGTTTGTACCAAGTTGACAAAAAAAAAAAAAAAACAATCCCACAAGTTTTTTTGGAATTATGGTATAAAAATGCTTATATAAGACAAATAGAGGCACTGTTCTGTGCTACCCAACACAAACGAATTGCCACGATCTACAATTGAAAACAAAATAGTTTATCTTCCCTGACTGATTCTTAATTTCAAAGCTACAATATTTAAAACCGCTTCCAAAACAGAATGAAAAGTAATACCTCTCCTGCTTGTTTATAATCTTAAATACCTTATTAACAATTAACACAATCTCATCAATCGCTATTCACTTGTGAATATTTGCATCTTAAGTGATCTTTTAAAATGATGTGTTTTTTTCTTTTCCCAAATCTGAGGAATAACTGAGATAGCCCTACAAAATCTACTACTCTCTCACTGAATATATAATGTATGGAAAGCTGTTTGTTCAGAGATTTAGCCTACTGTAGGGCCATGGAATTCCAAACATTTAATAAGAAACGGCAGTTGGCCTTGAAGTATAAATGTGACAGGGCCGCAGGACCCAGTCTTTCTCCTTTCTATACCCCAGCGCTCTTCAGGGCGCAAAGCCGTGGAAGCAAAGCCCAGGGAAGACCCTGGATCCTAGGACCCGCCCTGGGACCTCCCGTTGAGGGACCCCAGCTAGCGCTGCAGTCCCAGCGCTGGGCAGTGGAGCCCAAGAGTCAATCATCTCGGAAACCTGGAGTCCTCCAGTGCCTGTGCCCAGATTGTGGACCTCAGGCTCGGGAGACTCCGCAGCCGATGACTCGGAAGAGCCAAGGAGATAAAAATGGAAACCTACGCGGGGCTGCGGCGGCCTCATCTCTCCGGTGCCATCCTCCAGGGCCCGCCTGCGCCCTTTCTCCTGCCCGGGATCGGGGTGCCTCCAGGAAGTCGCTGCACAGGGCGGCGGCAGGAAGGAGCCGCCAGACGCGGGTAATGATGCACGAATGGAGGACGGGCCCGTTGGGGACCAAGCCGCGCGCGCCTGGGGACCACGAGGCCTGCGTGCTGCACCGTGGCTGTGGTGGCGCCGGCCGCCCCGAAGCCAAAGTCCTAGCTGCAGTGGCACTGGCTGGATAATCAACGCAGGAAGCCGCGAGAGTCCTTCCGGCCGCCCGCCTCGAGCGATTGTGTCTTCAGTCTCCCGAGTCCAGCAAAGTGCCTTTAGAAAAATACTCAAGGAAGATGGCATGTGTAAATGAGCCGGCCAAAGGCTTATTGTGGGGTCCCATTTCTTTTCAGTGACAAAAAAAAATTAGCATGTTCAACTTTGGGTACGCGCATATCCACTATCTTAAATAATAAGCCTGTAAAACAGCACCGGGATCATTAACCCACGCTTCAAGAAGCACATTAAATGCAAGCTTGTGAAACTATGTGCTGGCCTCCAGCCAGCAAATGCCGGTCCAGTTCTGCAAATTTGTGTACAGTTTGTAGAATAAGCCGCAGAGTGACAAAACAGAACAATGCCTGGGGTACCTTAAGCATGCAGTAAATGGTCACTATCTACTAAAAAGACTATAGTCTTTTCAACTCTGTCCAAATGAGCCACTTTTAACACCACCAAAGTATGGCATATCCGGACTGATGTAATGCCATGGAGATCCCGGGGCGAGGTAGGGGGACTAAATCCAGCCAACAAGAGTTTAAGAAATAACGGAGCCAAAAGAGCATACTGGATAGATAACAACACAGCAGGAAGCCATCAGCAAGAGCCAGAAAGCAGAGCTCCTGAAGACTTGAAACAATTTTTATTCAAAAGCAGATGTCATGCGCTGGGCTGAGCATGGTGGAACACTCTAAAGTCTCAGGGGAGGTTAAAGCAGTAGATCCCTGGTCCAGCACCAGCCTGAGTTATATAGCATCCCTGTCTCCAAAAGTTTTTTTTTTTCAATGTAATTAAAAATTTTAAAGGGCACCAGAAAAAAGGGGGAGGGGCAGAGTCAGAGGGAGAGCTGTCAAAGGAGATTGAGATACAAGTTAGCAAAATGCAGTTTGTGGGCCTTATTTGATGAAGATTCGGTTTGATACAAAGAAACTTTTTTGTTACATTTACTTATCCCACCCTCTCCACCCCCACCCGAGTGTACCTGCGGACACCACAGCAAACCATTGGTGCAAAAATGGACAATTTACCAGTGATTCTCTTCTTACCAGGGATCAAACTTGGGTCATCAGACTTGGCCTTTATCCATAAAACAATCCTAGGGTTCCAAATCAAGCTTTTTTATTTTTAAAACATTCGTGAGAAAATTGGGAAATACAAACATAGGCTGGATGCTAAATGATATTGGAGAATTATTAATTATCTTGCTATTAATCCGGCTTAATTAAATTTTTGGTTGTGATTTTGGTTTTGGCTTCTGTTTGGTTTTTTTGTTTTGTTTTGTTTTGATTGAGACAGTACAGTGCCTTGCTTTTTAGTCCAGGCTGGCCTTGAACCCACAATCCTCAGCCTCAGGAACAGAAGAATCATAGGTATACACCACTGAACTCTCCTTTCAGTCATATTTTCCTCAAGTCCCTATCAAAGAAGGACACCAAAGTGCTTACATGCCAATAACAGGATTTTTGAGGTTTGGTTTCCTAGTAAATTTTGTAGTTTGCCATTAGGGGGCAAGTTAAAGAAGGAGAAACAACACAAGCACCACGCTTAACACTGAAGAAGGCTGCATGGACACTGATGGCAAAATCAAGACCCCAAAAAGATGCCCAGATTCCAGACTCTATGGATATGCTACCTTCATGGCAAAAAGACCAGTAAGATGGTCAAGGTGAAGGCCAGGGGATGTGGAAATCCAGCTAGATGGACACAATTCCATCCTTTGGAGCCAATCTCAAGTCAAGAACCTTCTCCAGCCTTATGTGTGTTGGGGTGGTGGTGGCTGTAAGAAGAATAGTGGAAGGAAGGAAGGAAGGAAGGAAGGAAGGAAGGGAGGGAGGGAGGGAGGGAGGGAGGGAGGAAGGAAGGAAGGAAGGAAGGAAGGAAGGAAGGAAGGAAGGAAGGAAAAGATGGACTGACTGTATTTACTGAAGATGCAAGAAAAGTTGTGTCTAAATTCCAGTCTAAAACTGTGTCCTTTTTCTCTTTGGAATTATGGAACCAGTAACAAGATCCAGCCCCAACTTAGCAGCAGAGGACACTCTTTACTCTTGGCCAAGAATAAGAGAAAGGGGCTAGAGAGAGGCTCAGTGGATAGCAGTGCTTGCTGTGCAAGCATGAAGCCTAAGTTCAAATCCCCAGCACAGCATAAAAAGTCAGGCATGACTGTTTGTACTTGTACCTCCAGCATTGGGGCTAGGACAGGTAGATACCAAGAGCTCACTGGCAAGGTGAAATGAGAAAGTTCTGCCTCATTAAGAGACCCTGCTCAAAAAACAAGGAGGAGAGTGACAGAGACACTGAACATCTTGCTCTGGCTTCTGAATGTGTGTGCACTTGCACACTCATGCTTCTAAATGCATGTGCACCGACACACTTACCTGCATGCACCACATACAACAAAAGAATAAGAGAAGTGGGCCTTGTGTGGTCATGTATACTTGTAATCCCAGCACTTGGGAGGTGGCAGCAAGAGAATCAGGAATTCAGGGTCATCTGTGTTACCTAGGATCATGCCATCATGCAATGCTCCTCCGGCTTAATTAAATGATGACAGCTGAAAAAATTTGATTTTCAGAAGTGAAGTAACTCGTTTCTATAGATTTCCCCACCCTGTGGACTCCCAGGATGGCCACCACAAAAGATGTGTATCTGTCACCTGACATTCTTTAACTGCCACACACTGGTTACCACTATCTCCTCCCCTCCTTCCTCTAAAACCTATAAGGAAGGGGCACATGCACACCCAACTCTGTCACATGTGTCCAGACTCTCCTCAGAGCCCCACCAAGCTGCTGTCTGCCTGTCTGTCTATGGCACTAACATCTCTCCTAACAAATCTTTTATAAAAAGGGAAATCAGTCTCAGTGACTCCGTGGAACCAGAAACCCAAAATGTTTTCATCTTCAATAGCACAAGAAGTCCAGGCCAGCCTGGAGAACAGAAATGGGAAGCAGGCTGATAAATCAACTGCTTAAGCCCCACAAATAAGCAGGTTACAGCCAGAGAGGAAAAAGAAAAAGAAAAAGAAAAACTCAGGGTGTTGGCTAGGCTAATGTCTGGGAGGAACGTTCATATCTAAGGATGGGTTGAGATATTTTTCTGGGACTCATCACACTTCTATAGTTTTCCCAAGTCAATGTAAAGGCAGTTGTCAGCTGTCATGACCCTGGAGGGGATGTTATTTAGCATACAGATGAAAATATGGTAAAATTAGAGATAATCTGATGCCACTCTGGCAACTGGCCCAGCTGGTCTCAGTCAACCACTGGAGGAGAGACTTCAAGACATACCACATCCTGTCCTCAAATGTATACAAGAAGCTGGCCAGTCAGGATTAGGCTAGGGTAAGAACCATAGGACTTGAATGAGATGCACTCCCATAGGCTCATATGTTTGAATACTTGGTTCTCAGTCAGTGCTGCTGTTTCTTAAGGCCATGGACCTTTTAGGAGGTGGAGCCTTGATGGAGGAAGCCTATCACTGGAGGAGGGCTTGGAGGGTTTATAGCCTGTGTCCACTTCCTGTTTTCTCTCTGTGTTTCCTGCATGCTGATAAAATGTCAGCTTCCTGACGGCCAGGCCAGCCTCATGATCCTGCTGCCACGCCTCCCTCCCCATGATGGACTAGACCCAGAAGCACCCCCCCAAAAATAAAACTCTTTCTCCCCTAGGTTCCTTTGAGTCAGGGTCTTCTATCCAACAGCAGAAAAGGACCTGATACAAGCCACAGGCCTGGGAGTGCACAGGTTACACCCCTTCAGCTGGAAAATATGAGGACATGGAGACTCACGGAATCCCTAAGGGCCCCACAACCAGTTTTGGTTCTGTTAGACTTATTGGACTCCTAACCTACAGAACTGTATTTAACCAACGGTAAGAAGATTAATTTGTGTTATTTGGAGTAGGGCATTTAGGACCATGGGCAGGGCCCTGGGTTCAATTGAGCCCCATGCTGAAGAAGAAGAAAAAAAAAACTATATTGTTAAAAGTCATTGCATTGGTAGTTGTCCTAGTTGGTTTTCTATTACTGTGATTTAAAAAAAACAAAAACATGACCAAGGCAGCTTTATGGGAAAAAAAGTTATGGCTATGGTTCAAGGGAGATGAGAGTTCAATAAGGATGGGCGGGAGGAGGAGGAAGCTGGGAGACCACATCCTCAACGGCAAGCAAGACAGAGAACTGAAAGACAATGAGGCTGCATACACCCAAGGTCCATCCCTAGTGACACTTCCTTCAGCAAGGCCCTACTTTCTAAACCTCCACGGTGTCACCAGCTAGGAGCCAACTGTTCAACCTGAGAACTGTGGGCATATTTCTCATTCAAACCACCACGGTAGTTCTTAGCTGAAGCCCGCGAAAGAAGATGCTGCAAGCATTTGCTGACTTCTACCTTCATATATATCTAAGGTGTTTTGTTTTCTTCCTAGCAACCTAAGAAATACTTCTGTTGTTTGTTTTTCGAGACAGGGTTTCTTTGTGTAGCCTTGGCTGTCCTGGAACTCTCTCTGTAGATCAGGCTGGCCTCGAACTCACAGACATCCACCTGCCTGTGCCTCTCGAATGCTGGGATTAAAGGTGTGAAGCAGAAATACATTTTCAAAATACTTCATTTTTACCTGAAGGGTAGGCCCAGCGTAACATGGGGCATGATACATTTAACTTAAAAGGGAATTTTATGCCATGATACTTTGTAAAAGAAAGTTTAAGTAATAAAGTAGCATTTATTTTCAGTTACAAACATTTAAAAAAAATAGTGTGCACCTCCATTAAAGATGGCTTATCTAGGCTGGTTTCTGTCAAAATCTTCATTCTAAACCTCCAAGAATGTTAACAGGGGGCTGGAGAGGCTGCTCCGTGGTTTAGAGCACTTATTCTTGCAAATGACCCAGGATCAACTCCCAGCACCCACATAGTGGCCCAAAACCGGCTGTGACTCCAGCTCCAGGAAACTCAATGCCCTCTTCTGGCTTCTGTGGCCATATACATACATGCAAGCAAGACACCCATATACATAAAATAATAAAAATTAGTTTTAAAAAAGAAGCCGATGGTGAGACAACATAATTCTCACATCACAGAAACAACTGACTCTAAGTCAGTGGTTCTCAACCTGTGGGTCACAACCCCTCTGTGGGTCAAATGACCCTTTCTAAGACCATTGGAAAACACA